ATTTTCTTAATCTATGCTCAAATCGTATAAAGTATTTGATTTCCCTTATATATATATATATATATATATATATATATATATATATATATATATATATATATATATACTAAGAGGTAGATTTTCTTAATCTATGCTCAAATCGTATAAAGCAGCAAGTGTTCATAGATTCAAAAATTATGTTGAAGACTTAACTTTTGGTCACTATTTTATGGATTGTATTAGTTTGAGTTTAAGGGAAAAATAAATTTCAATTTGAATTAATCATATTAAATTAGATTGATCCAATTCAATTTTGAAAAATGAATTAAAATCGTGTTGATTTTTTAACGTCATTTGGCTAATTTTTTTTTTTTTTTACTTTTTATATTGTATGTTTTACGAATTTTAATTTTATATTAATATAAAATAAAATATTTTTATTTTTAATTACTATTATTTATTTAATGTCTAGCCTCTATGCAAATATCTCCTCCATACATGTCTCATTATTTTTACTAAAGATAACAAATCTATCTGAATGTTATAAATTTACCTTTTGATCCTTCAATGGAAACAAATTGTTTTAAGAGCTATTTGTGATTCAGAACATTTAGTTTAATTTTTAATAGTCAAAGCTTTTAATTGTAGTTCTTAATTTTAAGCTTCATTTGATTTAATAATTAATAAAAAATTATGTTCTCAGTCATGTGAAGCCATTACCTTTTTTACTTTATTTGAATGCTTAATTTTTTACTACTTTTTTATTTAAACTTATCCTTTTAATCTTAATTAATTTTTAAATAAATATATTTTATATCACAGTATAAACTATTTATCATAAATTGAATGCTTGAGGGGCTTTCTTTTGATAATTGAGGAAGTCTATTTGCCCTAACAACTAAGAGTGAAAAGACACCAACTTTTGTAGCCGGAGCAAAGGGCAGTACCAATGCCAACTCATTCTCTGCCCTTTTACATCTCACGTGGTGGTTGGGTTTTGAAGCCACCCAAAGGACTTGGATATAAGCAAAATTAAATAAAATAAAATATATGTAATTATTTAGTATTTTTCAGATAACATTGATTTGATATCTGAGGAAGCTTAATTGTGAATTCCTTCTCAAACGATGCTATTCCTTTGTATGATTGCTAAATAACTCTCTCACTAATGAAGTTACAGACACATAGTCAGGGCATAAGTCTATCATCAATCTTCTTTGGCTATATTTGAAGTTTAAATTTTCTCACTATCAACCTATATAATTTCATAAACCAATTATTCACAATTTTAAATCGAATGGAATTTAGACAAAAATGTACTCCATGTGACCCATAAAGTTAAATTCAACTAAACCAAGTTTTAATTTCGAACAATAATTGTCAATAAGAAAAATGAAAATAAACAAATGTTGTGTGAAAAGAGAATAATGTTTTTATCATGTTACACAAGTTTAGCATAGTGAAAAATTCAACTCCAAATTCGTATCTTATTAAAAGTCTTAGCCATAACTTACAATTGTACTAATTGCCAACTTATTAATCAAACCACTAAAAAATGAAAAATTCTACTTTGTAACGTTGTCAAACTGAAAATTAATAAGTATAAATTTATTGATTAATATACTTAAAGTAATATAAACATAGTCAGCATAAATGTAAACATTATTGAAGTTGAATTAGATTTAAGTAGAGATGAGAAATTTTAATAATATATAAAAAAACTCATAAACTTGTAATTTTATGGTTTTGAATTAAATATAATATACTATTTTTTTTATTTTTGTATTATATATATATATATATATATATTGATTATGACAACTCTAATACTAATACATTAGTACAGTATTAATAATAAGCTCTAAAATAAATAAGAATTGAAGACGCACTTACACGTATATTTTTATTTACTTAGAACGCACGTGTTTTAAACGTGAGGTTTAGTTCCCTATTTTATGGGTAAAATTGGGATACAAACGTCATTGCAGTGAAGAGTATTTACCTTTGCAGGATTGATGGATACAAAGGAAATAAAATTTGAGAAGATAATTAAGCGCTAATTAGGGGGAGAATTAGGCAGGATTACATTTAAATTCCAGGATTACATTTAAATTACAAAGGAAATAAAATAAGTGCTTTGTTTTCATGAGAAAGCGGAAAGTGGTTGCAATAAAGAAGAAAGTCAAGAATGGCAGACAGCAACCATAAAATGACCCCTCTGCATGGGACGCAACGCAAGACACCTTTTTTTTTTTCTTATATCATTCATGTCCCAACCCAGTCAGTGTCCCGTGATCTAAGGACTCTCATAACTCTTTTTTCTTTTCTTTTTTCTAATAAATACTATTTTTTGGAATTGTCTGAGTTTTTTTTTCTTCCTTTCACTTGTTTAAGTTCACGTATTGGTGCAAAGTTCCAACTATCCTACTTTCACGCGAATTTGGGGATGTAGATATTCAATGAAATACATTGTTGCGATAAATTGAAATATATATATAATAATTACTTACCTAGTCACATGATACAATTATGTTAAATTGTTCATGATTTAGTCCTACTTTAAAACATTATTTAATTCACTTTTTATTTAACAATCTCAAAATATTTATGAATAATAAGAATCATACATAATAAGCCAAATAAGTGTGTGGAGTTTTCATCTCCTACTGATATTATCCACACACAGATAATTCATTCATCTCGTACTAAAACCAGATATTGACTCAATAAATTTTCTAGTATATGGAGCTTTCGCAGGATTAGGACCAGATTAATGGATCAACACTCGAAGTTCAGGTAAAATTAATTAACTTCGTTAAGATTTATCTGGTTACTAAAAAAATTATATTTATATTGTATTTTGAATAATATATATATATATATATATATATATAAATGATAGATTTAGAAAAAAATTAAGTGAATAGATAATTAATCAATAAGAACAATTGATATTTTTGCTATAAATTAATAAAACTAAAATTTATATATAAAATAGACAACAAGTAATATAGATTTTTTAAAAAATACAATATTTATTTTTAATTTAAATTATAGACTAGTGCATGACGATAAAATGTTTTCTTTTATTTTGTTCAAAAATATTTTTCTTTAATATATAGAAAAAAAATACAGAAGTGAATTTGAGAGAGAAGGAAAATTGTATTTAATAAAATGAATAGAGATGATTAACAAAAAGTTCAATTTTAATTTTTTCGAAAATTTTCTTTGTTTTTTGGTTTTTTAATTTTGAAATGAATTATTTATTTTCCTTTTAATTTGGATGGAATGAAAAAAAAAACATTGAATTTGATTGTATATTTTACTATCATGACCTTTTAGAAAACGGAAAATCTGCAACCTTTCAACGTCCTGTCATGTGATCATGAGACTCACACAGTTTTATTCAAGATAGTACAATATGTTGCATTTATTAATTTAAATATATTTAACATTATGATTACTGTAAATGTGTTTACATCATTACACTACTTCAACATACTACAGCAATCCATGCATTGAATTTTTCTTATTTATTGTTTCACTATCAAATCTATGTAGGTTCGTAACAAAATCCGTCACATGCAATTCATAAAAATAAATAAATTTTTATATTTATTTACTACCACACAGAAAGTAAAAGAATCAATAATTTTTTTTCGGGTTTTTCTATAAAGAAAACTCATATAAATATGATATATGTTATTCTCTACTAGTCATAATTAAAATTTTATCTTGATAAATATATTTTATACTATGTAAGTGGTTCATTATTCCTGCTAGGGTTATGTGGAAGAGCAAGATTGGTAGCCCAAAAATGAAATGATTGAGAAAGATAGGATGATTAAACACAACGTGGACTCAGACATTAACAGAGAGGAGTGGTCTATTTTTAAATATGGTTGGTCCACAACCTACTTTATTAGAGTTAGATCCTCTCTTCCCACTAGCTCTTCTTCACCATGAATCCGTGACCCATCAATCACTTTTCGTTTTCAACTTTCAATTTGCTTCATCACGCTCTCAAATTTTATTTCTTGGTATGACAAATGTGCAATATGAAATTAATTGCTTTTATTACAAAAAAAAGAAAGACATACAAAGACGAGGTTTGATAATTGGACATTCAAATTGTTGAATAGATCGAAAAAGTGCAGTAAGTATTACGAAGTTGTTTTGGAGTTTGGACTAACTGTCCCTTATTTACGCTAATGTTTAGGGAGTCAGTCACGGCCACAACGTTATCTGATGAAATACAAAGAAACAAAAACAATAGAAGAAATACTAAAAGCTTGTGTCTCCGTCTGTCAGCTTCAATCTTGTCTGATTTTTCTTACGTCCTACTCATTCCACCAACGCCATAATTTTGCAACCAACCATTACCATTCCCTTTGATCTTTCTCACCCCGTCATTTTCACTCCTTCCTCCTTTCACTATTTTCTCTACTTCTGCATCACCCTCTTCACAAACCTTGCACTACTTTCTGAGTAGTACTGAAACCACTACTTCCCTTTATTGCTTACTTCTGTCGCCTGACTCGTTATGTTATTCAAGAGGTTTCATCTTTAGCTCATTGTCACTTGAACTCAATTATTTTCACTTTTCATAAGTATTATTAGGGTCATTAAATTTGGCGGATAAAGGTGCTTCTCGCTGTTCTTGCGCCGTTAAATTTATTAATTATGGATACTAATGTTTCTGCAATTATTGATTGTTTGGATCATGAGGAGAAAAAATAGGCCTTCTCATTATACCTTGGCTTCAATCTTAATTTTCATGTAATTGTGTGTCTCTGTGTGGTGCTTCTCTTTTCTCATTTGAAGTCCTGTTGAATTGAAGTTTATTTAGTTATTTTAAACTGTTCATAATCAGTTGCGTCTTGTTTTTCAGGTTTCATGATTGGTAGGAAGTTTATCATCTAATCATTTAGGTCTGCTGCTGAAGATTAGTGTATGATATTGTCCTGAATCGTAAACTTGTAATTGAGAGGGGCTGCACTGTTGCTCAATTTTGGAACAAAATGGCTGAAAGGAAATTGAATATTAATGCCCCTCTCATGTCTGTGAGACGTGCTTCTGCCACATCACCGTCCTTGACCGAAGCAAGGAAGAAGATTTTAGAGAAACGCAACAGTCTTCCATACCACAAATCAGACAGTACCTTGGATCAGGTAACAAAACCAGTTGCAGTTCCTTTCAATTGGGAGCACATCCCTGGAAGACGCAAGGGCAATGGTGAATCTGAGCCTCATCCTCCCAAGGCCACTTCAATCACTCCAAGCCCAAGGCTTCCTCCAGGAAATTCAACCAATGCTACCAAACAGCCATTGGAAAAGGAAAATAGAGCTGTAAATAAATTCAAGTCCTCAAATAAATCCAAGTCTTTCAACGTCAGTGTGGCTAAAGTAGACGCCGAGAAAGAGAGAAAAGCAGAGAAGACAGAGAAAATTGTTGAGAGCAGAAGGTCCAATGTGAAGTATGATGATGATGATGATAATGACGCTTTTTCTGATGCCCTTGAAACACTGTCACACACTGAATCATTCTCCATGAACTGTAGTGTGAGTGGTGTAAGCGGGTTAGAGAACATGGGCGCAAACAAGTCTGGAACCTTTTCCACAGATCAACAAACTAGAGACTTCATGATGAGCCGATTCTTGCCTGCAGCAAAGGCCATGACTCTACAGCCTCCTCAATATTCTGCAAAAAAGCAATCTGTACTACTAGAACAACAACCTAGAGATGTTAGCAAATTGGTTCGCGAGGAAAAGAAGCCATTGCCTAATAAGCATAACACTGCTATTATACCATACACTGGCCAAGTTCAAGAGGAAAAAAGTGATGATGAAGGTGATGGTAACGAATATGACAACTCTTCTAATATCGCAGCTAAAGGCTGCGGGTTGTTACCTCAATTACACATTAGGAATTCATTGTGCTTATTGAATCCTGTGGCTGCGATGAAAATGAAGAATCAGGTTCCCTTGCCTTCAGCCAGTGAAGTTGTGAAACCTAGCAAAACTTCTCATATTAGATCTTTTAGCCCAGTTCCAGCTGTAAAGAAGGTAAAAACAATGGAACTACTTAACTACTTTTCACCCTTCAACCCTTTTGTAAATCAGCATGCTCAAGGGATCTTGTTTTCAAACGTTTACTTACAATCATGAATATTTTCTGTAGGCCTGGGATGCAATTCACAAGAACAAATCAAGCTCTAGGGCAGCATCACCTGACAAACAGGAGGGTAAAAAGAAATTGACTAGTGAATCAAACAGATTTACCTACTCTGGTGAGTTGCTTCCAGGTAGACTCTCTCCCTTCCGTCGTTCAAGAGCTGCTGCTACTGGTATATCTCCCTCTCGAAGACCTCACTCTCCCTTTCGTGGCGCCAAGTTGCTTGGTGATTCTAAAGAGGCTGAACATAATAAGTTTGGCAAGGTGAAATTCCACAGCGGTGTGCTTGGAAATGTTCAAGATGTGCTATCCCAAGGACATCAAAGAACTTCATATTCAGGCAGTCTCACAATTGAAAAGACATTGTACATAGATACAGTCAGCACAGCGAAATTACCATCATCAAATGTAAGCTCTTTGGATAACAAACGGAGGGTAGATACGATGGTCGCAGACTTAGAGAGTAGAAGGGAGAAAGAAAGTAATTCCTCCATAGTATCTTCTCAAGATATCAAACCAGTACATGCTGTGGAAGAAAAGGTCACATTTGATACTGAAGTGTTAAATTCTTTGGATTCCATTCCACCAAGTTTGTATAGAATTTTGAATCTCACAGCCAAAGAAGGCAAAACTGAAGGATTGACAACTGATCAAAATATTACCCAAGAACCAGTAACCTTGCCTCTTGTGCAAGGGACATTTGTTGAAGATTCAAAGATCAATACCCAGCAAATTGTTTTAGCTAATGATTCAAGAAAATATAGTGCCGAATCTGTCGTGACTCCTCTTCCCCCACCATTACCAAAATCACCGTCCGAGTCCTGGCTTTGGCGTGCCCTGCCTTTAGTTTCTGTGAAGAATTCTTTCCTTCCGTCAAGTCAAGGTAGTCAATCTCAAGCTAAAAGGCATGATTCAAATACAACATCTGGTATTCTCAAGTGGGAAACAATAGTGAAAACTTCAAATTTGCATCATGATCATGTACGCTATTCTCAGGTAACCTTGTTATTCCTTTTATCAAAATTTTGTGTACCTCAACTTTGGCAGTGTAAAGATTTTAAATTCACATTTAACTTTCTCTGCAGGAAATTCCAACGCATAAATCTCACCATAAATCTTAGACATGAAACTCACTATCCTGTATAGTTCAAGCTTTTTTAGCCCTCTTTTTTCAGTTATGCTTATGGTATGTCGTTCTCACCTTATGACAAAAAATTGAATTTATATCAGTTTAGACCTTCGAACTACTTTAGGCCAATTGATCATGCAACCTTTAAATTTTACTCAATCAAGTACATTACATCAATCCCTCAAAAGGAGCATATTCACATCAATTTTTGAAAGATTAAATTTTGATCTTGATTGAACCAAATACCAAATATTAAAGTAAAGAACTGATGTAAATTTCATTTACAGGACTAGAAACAATGTAAACAGAATGCTTGAAGACCAAAACATCAATTCTCTTCTTACTTTCTATAAAGTATCCTGTCTTTATTACTGCTTTTCCTTTCTATTGAATTTTGTTTCCTGCAGTTGGCTTCAAGCTCTGAACCCTGTTGATTTTGGTGATACTGTATTGATTAGAGAGAAATCAAAGTATTTTTTTTTGTGATCAATAAAAGCAAAGCTTCTTCTGGAATAGTGGCGCTTCCGGTGGAATCAAGATTTCCTAACCTGCCCTACAGAAGTGTATATAAGCTAGTACCGTCTGTCTTTCTTCATGTTATTTTTGTCTTCTCAACTTCTTTCTGCTTAATCAGAGGAATGATCCTTATGGCATTGTTATCAGCATTTTTTTTATGTCAACTGACATAAGTGATTACTGTTTTTCATGTTCTATTGATTACGGTATGTACATTAGATGAATTCTGCATTGAGATAAATTTCAGACTTTCTTATGTTTGGGTATTTCTTATGTGATGCTGTTAGCAAATCTGCACAGCAACAGGAAAAAGAAATTTAATCAATTGCAAATTTGAACCGTTTGACATAAATGGATGAGTCAGTGTATTTTATCTATCGCTATCCTAATGTTTGGCTTGGTGTTCAGTAGTACCCTGACATATAGGGACATTCGGAAATAACATGTGAAAGGACAGAGAAAAAACAGTGGCTTTTAAAATGACAAACGCTGAATAACACAAAGAACTTTCAAAATGCCGTAGGAACACGCGTGAGTGATTCCTGTTCAATTTTATAATTACCTTTTATTTTTCTTTTATTAAAAAACCTAGAAAAGCTACCCGTGGTATCCAATGTTGTTTATTCGGTTATTCTTAAGAAATTATACCAACCATATTTTAACATTGAACAAAGGCTTTGGCATACGTCTAATCAACTTGGTTCAATAGGATTAAATCGCTTTCAATTGCTAGTAGACAGACACTTATGTTTGTGTTGTTACTGATCAAATTTCAAAGATCTTTACCAGTTTATGTTTCAAGATTTAATTCGACTGTAATATCAGTTAGACATTTTTGGACGTGTCCTAAATCCAACTTTGAATAAAGCAATTTAATCATGTCTGTAGCAGTTAAAGTCTAATGCACTATCATCAAATCCATCAATTTAATCGTTATGAATATGCTCAAAGTGAAACATCTGCCCTAGATTTGGCAGAGGTCGTTAGAGATATTATATCCAAAAAGTAGGATGGTGAGAATTGCATCTGTCATTGATTAAAAAAAAGAAAAAGTTGAATCCATAATGTGAATCTATATATAGAGAACGTGACAACCATGTGCATTTTTTATTTAGTGAATCAAAGGTAACAATTTCTTTGACAGATATTTAAGAAAATAACACCTCTCAACTTATAATCTTTCGTGCAGCAAACCTAAAAAATTCATTCTTTACCATATACTGAAGAACATAAAATTATGTGTTAAAATATACCATACAATATTAGTTGAATTATTTGTAATGAGAAATAAGCTTAAGAAAATGAAAAGTATTATTTTTGTAAGAAAAGCCAAAAACTAAAATTCATTGATTCTCTGTCAAATTAGTAATGTGTCATGGTAGCATATGAGAAGTGTGATGAATGCAGCATGGTCCTACCTTGCACCCATTCTTGGTTGAAAACTTAAGATCCACACACCAGTGCTGTGAGTTGAGCATCTGATATAGAGGGTATGACATGGGTGGGACACACATAAAGATGATGAAATTGGATAAGGCATGTTTATTACTATTAGTCGCCACCATTGTGCTGCCAAACCAAGACATTCTTACCTCATCTTGTCAGAAAAGTTCATGCTGTTCTCCTCTTACACTCCACAAAACAGAACGGTCCTTATCTAATGCTAATATGGTGGTCCATTTTCAATTAGGCTATTAAAAGAACAACTTTTAAAATATACATTTACTAAGATTATTTTTCAATAATCAAAACCACTTTAAACTTGAACAAAATTATTAATACCTATTAGTATGAATAGAAATGTACATTTTGTCATCACAACCCAAAAGTTTTAAGTGAAAATCGGAACTCTGGATTTTTCGGATGTTCCTTCCTCAAAATAAAGACAATTCTTTTCATTATCAGGAATGAATAGAATAAATATTTAAAATTAAGAGAAAAAAATATATATAAGAGATTGAATGAAAGAAGTTTGTCGAAGAGCATGAAAAAAAAAGGGAAACAGAGAATAAAGATGCAAAATAAGAACGGAGAGTAAATTTTAAACATTTAAGTTTAAGTTCATTGGAGAATTATTTGAATCACTTTAAAAATATAAAGGAACTAAATTATTTAAAATAAAATAAATAAAATATCAAACCGAATACAACTTAAAAAATAAACCATCATTTATATGATATAATATTCGAAATATAACTTAAATGAGATGAAAACATCCTTCTTCTTTTTTTGGGTTAAAATTTATAAAAAATATCTATTTTCATTTAGCTGTAATTATTAAAGATTAAAAAATTAATTAGTTTTTATCAATTGTATCTTTACTGTTCACTTAATTTTTAATATATATATATATATATATATATATATATATAACATAGAAAAATAAAAAATTATGACTATTTAATTAGAATTTTAAAAAATCATTACAGTATTTAAAATTTATATGTAAAAATCTTGAAAAAAATAGAAAAAAAGTTGAGAGAGTAATCTTAAAAGAAAAAAACTTAAATTGTTAACTTGATTTATATGGACCATTAAAATGAAATGTAGGAATAGAATTGCAAATACAAAATAGAGTATCTGCAGTAAAGCAAGACCATCATATTCTCACTGTTTGGTCCATTCTTAACCTCTTGAGTTACTCTCTTTTTTCTTCATACTATTGATCTCATGCACACCAATCATTTGCACACCAAAAATGGCTAATGGAACACCCTACCAATCCTGACACATTTTCTTTTACAATCAGATCCTATGCAGATTTAAATTGAAAAAAAAAAAAAAACTATATATATTAGGAAGTAACCTATGTCTTGTAGACATTGATCAGATATTGTGAAATAAATTCTTTTGTTTGGGTATCATCTCTCTATTGTTCTAATTAGCAGGAAACTATGATATTTTCTTTTATTAACTTTACGAAAGGGAAAGTGTAGTGCTGATTTCTTGGGTTTCTTTATAATGATCCATCTTGCTGCCATGACTTCCAATTGTTTGACTCAAACTCAGTTGCAATTCAGGCAATTGTTGTTCGTCTTTCTGCATAACAAATAAAATAATTAGGCATGAATGATGAAGAGATAACACACAAATTTATTTTGTTTTTTGACCCTAGTTAGCTTTTACCTTAATCCGAAATGGGGGATCAAATTCTTGCTTTAAACTGTTGGAATAGTTGCGAGGTTCATTGAATTTGTTTGATAGATGTTCTGTGATGCTTGTGTTGTTCAGAAAACTCCATTCAGCTGTCTGAACAGCTCGTAATCCATTCTTCGGTGCAAGAATGACAGGTAACTTTTGGAACTTGGATTGATGATTGTTTATAATTTCTATGGGAGCCCACATTTTCTCTTCAAGCAATTGGCTTGGTTTCATATGTGTATCCTTTGATTGAATTTGGCCCGAAGCTATTGGTATTTTAAAAGGTTGATGATTGATGTACCATTGCTGGTGCCTAGAAAGATTGCAAACAATGGTTACTATGAATAATTTTGTTAAGTTTTCTTGGTATATATTTTTTTTTTAATCATGAAAAACAAGACTAAGCATTTGAACATGAGCTGCAGGGATCATATAACCTATTGAAAGGATGCTCACTTTAAAACTATGGTTGTTTAAAGTTATTGCAATTAAATTAGCAAATATTTAACTATATTCTAATATATTTTTATATTTTAAGTAAACTATCATATTATTTAATTAATGATATTTAAGAAATAAATAGAAGAAAAGGGTTAAACTAAAGATAGAAACACATGATTAATTTAAAGTAACAATAATTTTGAAAGATGGAAAAATTAAAAATGATAATAATTTTAAAATGAAAGAAGTAACTATTACAAAAATGGATGAAAAGAGTGTACATGTTACATGGTTATTCAATTGTGAAAAATTCTTAAAATAATTATTATAAGATTTAAAAAATTTACTTATAATTGAAGAAAAATGTAAAATATTTTATAATGAAGGTGTATACACCTTTTCCCTTGAACAAGATCTGATGCAAATGAAGTTATTTAATCCTCTACATTGTTATTACCTTGAATCGGTGTCATTTGTACGGGAATGTGAAAAGGAGAAGGGGGTCTGGAGGAGTCTTGGGAAATGACTATGTTTGTTGAGATGAGTTGCCAGAATGATTCCACCATTTCCCATCTTAAGATGTTGTTGAGGACTCATGGAATACGGATGGAGTATCACAGATCTTTGGTTGGACCTATTTAGTACTGCAAAGTAAATATAACTGAATTGTGAAGCTCAACATATATGTTTCACTAAGATAAACAAACCCTAACCCTAAATCATTCTAGCTACGTCATTTTGACTAATTTAGGATTCGTTGTAGAAAAAACCCTACCCCTCCCCTCGTTCAGCTTACGTTTAGCAAAACTAACTAGCAAATTAAAATATTATTGCATGGACTAGTATTACAAAATATAAAAACTTCTAGAGTTGTACCTTGCCCAACCTCGTCAAGTTTCTTGCTTCGATACATCTGAAATGAGAATTGAATATTGAGTATATATATGCATAGACTAAAGATGTGTTTGAATTATAAATAACTTCTTAACTAAACATTTATTCAATTAAAAAAACTCTTCACTGGGAAACTTAACTTAAGCATTTATTTTAATAACTTTAATTAACTAAGCGTATAAAAGTGACCTTAATAAACCTATTCTAAAGTTTATCAAAATAAAGAGAAAAAATAGTTTATAGAAGAACTGTCTTCTATGGTAAAATAGGCTTGCACAAATGGTGATGGCTAAGGATAGTAGTATGCTGCACATTATTATACTTGTAAAAACGCACTTCAAGAAAAAAGCCAAATCAAAAGAGAATTTATCTCAAACTTCAATCTGTGCTACCTGCAAGTGACTCTTGACATGAGCAATGCTGAGTCCTCGCACATTCATTAGTTGAAGCACCAACTTGGGTGTTGCTCCTGCACAATGTAATGAAGAGTTCAAACGTTTTGAATCTTTTACAGGAGAGGCTTCATTTTACAAATAAGAATTCGTAGTGATTGTTCTGACACATAAATGAGTAGTCGGAATGCTTCGGTAGATATAAACAAATTAACAAATACTTACTCTCTTGACCACCAAGTCTTTCAACAGCATGCACAAATGAACGGTGAAGTTCAGGAGTCCACCGAAGCCGAGGCATCTTGGATCTAACATATTGTCTCACCGTTCCTCTTCTCTCATTTCCTTCTCTTGAAATGCTACTTCCATTTGCTGAGGTTCCCTCATCCTTTGCTTTCTCAATATTGTTCTCCTTAGTTGTGAGCTCCTCTTCTGTATCACTGTTAGTGTTATCTTCACTGCAAGCTTCAGCATTCAAGTCAAATGAAGAGCATTTCTGGGAACATCCGGATGAAGTTTCCTCATTGTTATGAATCTCATATCCTTCTGACATGTTGTTCTCTTGTTATTGCACGGGTTTCTGCCTCCAACCAATTGACTTCTTTCGTCCTTTACAAAGTTGGAATTTCAGGTCTGAAACAAACAGGAAATATTTTAATGTGCCGCATATTAAAGTAACGTGAACAAGAATGTGTGAGCCTGTGAGGACAGGCTGTAATTTCTCAACAACAATTACTATGCTTTAAATCTCTTCAAGTAACTGCACGGAAATGCTATGAAGTTATGGTAAAGTAACTGCAGTGAGAAATTATGGCAAAAAACATTTATTATACTAGATAGATCGCCATTACATACAATATTGATATATATATATATATATATATATATATATATATATATATATATATATATTTATCTATTTATTACTGCTCTATAAATAGAAGTAGTTCGAAAATCAGGACTTCAGTAAATAATGCAACCAAACTTCTCTACCTTAAGGTGAAAAATAATCTAATGAATGTCAGGTTGATCAGAAAAACATATTTAAAGATTTTTACCTTATAAGTTCCTTGTGAATATAAATCACAAATTCTTGAAGTCATGGAATACTAAATATTTGTCTGGAAAGGGGTAAGAAATTAAATTAGGAGTTGAAGAACAAAACCGAACAATAAGACAGGTGAAAGTGGTGTGGGAAGACTAATTCGTTTAGGTCATTTCACTTTGTCAATATACTCAATGAGAAGTGATTTTCATTTAACCACCAATAACATAAGATTCCATCAAATAGGTTCCAGGCAAACAGAAAAAAGGATTCAGATTATTTGAAAAATAGCAAGCTCATAAACCAATGGAACTTCTTAGTCGTCAACAGTATATGTATACACTTTTTTGAAATGGACAGTCTGGATAAGAACAAGGTGTTTAACACACACAACCCTTGTATATAACAGCAAGAGATATATGATCACACAAATGATGGGGAGATCAGAGATATTCAAAGTACAATCTCACTCATCATACAAAAAACGCATTTTGCATGATTAGATAAAAATGCACCAGAAGGAAAAAGAGAAGGAAAACAAATTAAGGACAAAAGTTATAGTAAGAAGAAGGAACTTCCATGATCCTAAGAATACCCCTGAAGGGAGATGGGGAAGAAAGGGGGAAGAATTTATAGATTAAATCATTAATTAATTAGCTGCTAAAAGGATAAAATATATATATATATATATATATATATATATATATATATATATATATATATATATTGGAAAGAGATAGAAAACTGCATAATCTTTAGGTGTTTATCCTATTTTTCTCCCCTAAATAGTAATACTAACCATCTAAGATGATGTCTTTCTCTTCCAAGTCTATTGATCACGTGTTCTGTGCAACTGCGTATCCAAACATATCTTCAAATCAGTCATCTCTAGAAAGCTCGATCGCGCAGCTAGACTAAAGGAGCTATTCATGAATGGACTGGAGTGGATTAGGCTTGGATCATATGCTGTTCTTTTATGGGTGGAGGGTGTGAAAGAAAGGGATGGGAGAAAATAAGGAGATGAAATTGATGACTGGTTTTTGCTGGGGATGTCTTTTTGGTAAATCATTCATTCAACAGCATAATTAATTAAGACTGAACAAGTTGAAGATGGTAGAAAGACTAACTGGTTTCAAAAGGAAAAATGAAAATATTGAGAATAGCAAAATTCAGACAGGCTACTTGTTCCCTTTAAATTGCAATAAACCTACATAATGGATACAGATGCGGCTGGTCCCTTTGTACTGTTGGAAATCATGTGACAACTACCACCTTCTCTCTCTGCTTCCGTCTCTTTTCCTTGACAGTTGTTAAAATCTACCACCCTTCTCTCCTCTGGCTCGTGATTATCTTAATTGTTTGACCTGTGTTAGAGACCTTGCTTTCTTGGCTAAGGGGAAATAATTTGTCAAACATTCACCATGATAGCTATAACCTCAATATTGGTGCAAGTATATTGTGGGGCCCAATCCTTCATCCACATTTCAAATTGTTTTCACCTAAACTTAGACTTTTCCCTTATTTCAGAACCACTGTTTTAATTTTACTTTATTTTTCTTCAGTAATAACACATGGTTCCACAGGGCCCTTCCCATGTGTGTATAACCATGACGTCAGATTTTTGGCATGAAATTAGCAACTGGACAGCCTAAATAATGCAGTAATTTAGGGATGTGTGGATTATAAAATAGACCATTTTGGTGGGAAATGTGCATAAACATGGACGTGTAAAATTTAGTGTTCGAGGCACTTTCAACTACGACTTATGATTGCTATATAATAATATCATTGATTCACATTAGACAAATTGTATTTAACTTTAATATTAGTGCATGAGCTATGACTAGAATCTTGACTCTACAACTTTAGAGTTCCATGCACTGGGAGGGAACAGGAGAGATTATTATATTAGAGATAGCTTTATCAACTGTTGCATGCATCCAATAATGAAGAAAATCATTCCTATACAAACATTATTGGTCAAAATATACCTTTCTTTACATAACTTGCTACTGGCTTATTAATTAACAAATTAGATCATTTATCCATGTGATATCATTTCACTTCTTAACCGATTTGTAAATAGAATGAATTATAGAAGGGAGAGGAATAGGATTCGTTAGCAGTTGTTTGACAATTGAATTAGCTTTCTCCCAAAAGCAATCTAGAAAAGGGAGGGGAAGTTGAATTTTTCATCGGCTTTATTGACTTCTGATAATGCACTCAACTCTTTCAATCGTTACACACCCTGACAATGTATGGTTTAATCTATCACTGTCTTGTGAATCACAGATTCCACACACGATTTGTTAAAAATGAAAACTAACATTTCAAACCTTCAGAAAGGACACGCACGACCCATCATAACAACTCAGAAAGTAAACAATACCAGTTCTTATTTGTCTGTTGTCTGATGTCCATATTTGACCACAGCTACAAAGTATATAGCATGTATCATTTGATTCAGGTACTTTAATAAACACTGTTACCTAGTTCAACGCATAAAAGATCAAAGTGAGGGAAACATTGATATATGCAATTAGTTGGGTAATTGAAAATGAAGATGGTGGGTATAGATATATGGCCAAGGTATAAAGTATGTATATTATATACATAAAGAAGGAAAACTTATCTCTCTCGTAGCATGTGCTGATGACATGGGACATATAGTTTGATCAATTTTCCCTTCAATTTAAAAGGGTTTTTAACTTTCCAAGGCTCCCTCACTTTGAAGGGGTTTGATTGCTTTGTGGTAGTATTACTAAGAGGACCTACATACTCATCTTAGATATTGGCACATGAATTGGAATCAGTTGGGTTGCATAAACCAATTACCAAACTCCACAAATTTGCTTGTATGCGTGGTAACTGGCAAGTACATGTTTGTGCTAAGGAAGAGACTTAAGTGGTTTGTAAATGATGACAGATATTGGCAGAAATAAAGTAAAAGGGAGGAAAATATTGATGGCATATTAAGATGAGAGATTAAACAACTGAAAAGCACAAGGTTGGTTTTGCTTTGTCTTCGCATGTGCACCAGAGTTGACATTCTTCAATATATTATACTAACTATTGTCTATAACCATTTAATTTTCATCTATTTTATACTTGTACAAAGTTCACGTAATTCATTTGACAGGGCATGTGTTAGCATTGAATATAAAATATTAATATTTGTTTGAATTGGTCACTCTCTAACAGTGACGGAAAATAATAGAATATATATACAATATTATTATCATTTGTCTTCACAGGAGTTACTTTGTTGGAGAGTTATATTTGGTTTAATATTGTTTTGAGGGTTGGTTTTTCTTTTAGCGAGTGAATGAATAAGTTTTCAAATACTGTTTTGTGGGAGTGTATCACTTAATATGATTTTGTTTGAGTGTATCTCTTACAAAAATAATGTGACTAATGATTTAAAATTCATAAATGACAAATACATTTTGGTAAGTTCCATACATACAGTCCCAGTCCCCATCCTACTGGTTCTTAACCTCCCCTAAAATAAAATAGAAAAATATAAGTAAACTGTTTTTGAAACTATTATTAACATTAACGATAAGTATATCATATTATAGAGTTGTTGGGAAGTAACTATAGTCACAGTTGTCTATCAATAATGCTAAAAATTCAAGGAATGGGGACTAAGTAGTGTACTGGAAAAAAAAAAAAAAGAATTAACTAACAGTTTCTTCACGCACGTGTGAGTATTTTTAAATTCAAATAAAACTGATGAATATAAATTATTAACAGTAATGAATATTTTATTCATTCAAGAGATTTTTTTTTTTTGAAAATAAAGCATTTGAATCGAGACATATTAAGGATGTATATTATTTTTATTGGTATGATTTGTCAAAATTCAAATTTAATGTCAAATAAGGATTATGTAAACTTTTATATAATATCTTCAATTTAATAAAGTATAACTTCAAATTTAAAAAAGCGAACTAAAATATAATTTAAATCGTTATCCTTGAAAGGACAAAAAAAAATGGTCAAATTAAAAAAAAAACAATGAATAATTGTTACAAAAAATAAAAAATACTGACTACGTAAACGAGACAAATGATCATACGTTAATGTCTAGTTTTACAACTTTTATGCTTAAATGTCCGGATTTTAACCTGAAAAAAACGGTATTAAAAATCTATATCAATAGGTGAGATGATAAATAATGAGCAACAATTTTTATTTTACATATTAGTTTTATGAAATTGATGCTAATGTCAGTATTTAAATTTTATTAAATATTTATATTATTTAATACAAAAATTCCTTTAGTGCAACAACCCAAATTTGAATGTTGATGGAGTTTTGGGACATAAATTTGATGTTTCCAACTCACCTGTTCCTATGACATTTTGTGGAGAAGAGTTTTGAGAAATTCCTAAAATGGCAGTCTTCTAAATAATGCACATGATTTTGTAAAATAGTGAAAATTGACCAAAAAGACAACCATATTTGAATATTTAAGATCATATAAACGGCCAATTAATGTTGTTTGAATGTAGTCAATAAATTATATAATTAAATAATTAATCATCTTTTGATCCACATGTAGAAGAAATAATAACGAATTAAAACTTCTAAAAATTTATGAAGAACAAAATATTTTTAGAATTTAGAGTATTAAAAAAGATGGGGATAAAGATATAAAATAGTGAAGAAGAGAATATATAATAGATAATTATTAATTTATTAATTTTAATGCTCCTCTAACATATATTTATCATTATGATGAGATTATTAATTTTATAACAATTACTTTAATGAGAATTATATCATTATCTAATTATAAGTTGCTATGTATAATACGATTGTTGATATTTATAATAGATAATTTATAAGTCATATTTAAATCAATTCGTAAGATTAACAATATATCATAGTTAAACTCAGTTTTATATCTTAAATGTGATCAATCTCTGTTGCCAAACGTGACTTCAAGAAGGAAATTCTCTCTTCTTCTTTTTTCATCACAAGGAAACTTGATTCCACAACCACACAGGTTATCTAGAAGTAACTAATGGCTTTTGCTATTTAAACATCGTAATTTATTAAGTACACCTCCTTTCCTTTTTTGCATATATAGATTTATTAAATTATCCTTTCCTTTTAATTTAATTTTTTCAACTAATTCTTGTTTCATCAATTTTTCTCTTCTGTAAACATTGTTAGTTTCCTTTACTTTCGTTTTTTTTTTCTTAGAACGTGATTAAATAGTGTACCAATTCCTCTTTTTGCCAAACTTCATACTTTTTTTAGAAATGTTATTTTTCAAAATTTAGAAGCCTTTCTCGTAATGTTGCGAATTATGTACCAATGTTGAATTAAACATTAGCGCTTATAAAAAAAAGGAAAAAAAAATAAAGTAAAGAAATAAAATAGGAGAAGTCGTGTTGTACCAATTTGATGAAAATAATTGGTGTGCCTTCAAATTAAGTAATGACCACAATGCTCATTAATAAAAAAATGTAATGACTACAATGACATTATGACATAGTGATCATTTCAGCATGCACAATATCTTCCAATATTCAATATTATGCAGATGATTGATATAGTATGTCTAACATCATATTGATGTAAAACATTATTAATATGGGTGAAAATCAATGTCATCAGGGGAACGAAATTCCATGTTTTTTTAGAGAAGAAAAAGTGGGAAGAAAGTACATGCGAACATTTTAAGGAGTAAAGAAGATGATATACAAAATTAGGATTTAAAAAAAAATGAAATTGAAGGTATAAAAATAGGGTTCGAAACATAATGAACACGAAAGTAAAATATAAGGTGTAAAGAATGATAAAGGTAGACATGAAAATATAGTTTTTATTATATTTATAAAAAAAAATAATAATAAAAGTAAAAAAGTGAAGGAAGATTCATTTAATAAATTGAAATGTGTAGATAGAAAAAGCCGTACACTATGCATTATTGAAATGTTCCGGAACTGTTTTCAGCACCATCAATTTCTTTTCATGAAGACTAATTGTTGATATAGAGGTACTTAAATTCCCCATTCAAAGCATGTCTAAGGAAGTTCTTATTATCACCAAAGATATCACGTTGCTGCTATTCCTCTAATCTTTGGTAAGTTTGAACAAGGATACATAAGATATAGTCAACATTAACTGCCATGGTTTATCACAGTATGTACAGTTAACAACCATACAGATCAGATGGTCGATTATTCCCAAGATGTACCATCTGCAATTTATATCCCCATCATCTTTAGTTTCTAGTCATGCCTGACTAAAGTTATATCAATACAAATTAGTTCCATCGTTCATCGTCTGATAGTAGGGCCTCTGTACAGACCTCTCCTAACCACAAGGTTTTCAGGCGCTTGAATCTCTTCTAACCAGGTCACTTCAGATGGTTTTACCTCACACAACTGATCCAGCTCAACACCTTTAACAGTAGAACATGTAGGAATATAAAATGCTTCAGACATTAGTGCGAGATTGAAAGAGAGGGAGGGGAGAGAGAAGAGTAGAGGAGGAGTACCTGGAAGATCTTTTCTGGGAGACTTCCTGAAATATGAGCAGTGTCTTCCATCTTCTGATGAGTAAGGAGGGGAAAGAATGTCAAAGAGAGCGCATGGGATTAAGGCTTTAAAGCAATGAATGTTGCCACCCTTGTTTGGATATAGAATTGTTGTGTTACAAGGTGCACTCATCTGACAATCTTTCACAAGTTTTGCTGGTCTTGCTGCAAAAGTAGAAAAATCTTGAATCACTTTTCTAGCTTAGCAAATACCTAAGCATGGGAATCAAGCAAAAAAATTGTATTGTATCTTAACTAACATAATCAGTATCTTGGGATTAGATATTACCCATCAAACCATATAAGCAGCAGCAAAATAAACAAAACATCTATTATATTAGCATGCATCAATATGGATATTCATAATTCTTTATTTTCTGAAAATGTTCGATTGCAAAACATGGATCTCTTTACATGGCAATAAAATAACTCGCTGTCACAACATTCTTACTAAAAACCCCAAAATAACATCCACCACTGTGCATGGCCCCTAGGACAAGGGCTTTGTCTCTCATCCACCCAACTAAACCATCAAAGCTCTAACCAATCTATGATGCTAAGATACCCATGCCCAAGGGTATGCACCTGATCCACACTATCTTAGAACTGTTGGAAGACTTCACTACCTATAAAAATAGTGGTGGATCTTGATCATTGATATTGAGAGACCAAATAACATATTATTAATAAATAATCAATAAATAAATATAAAAAAAATAAAAGAATATGAAAATATAAGAAACCTAAATATACAAATAACTATATTAAATGATTATTAAATTTTAGGGGACCAAAATTATAAATAATCAATAAATAAATATAAAAAAATAAAAGAATATGAAAATATAAGAAACCTAAATATACAAATAACTATATTAAATGATTATTAAATTTTAGGGGACCAAAATTATAAATATATATGTAAGTTAAAAAACTTTAGGCGCATGACTCCCTTCACCTCTCAAGAAGCTCCGCCACTATATATAAGCAATAAAAAGCGTTTTAGACCAAGTGTGTTCTCTTTTTTCTGCTTACAATCCTATCCCCATTATTCCTCTTAGATTAACAAGGGTGTCTGAGTGTTTTTATGGTACCGTTGCTCTGATCCAGTTTATGACCATCGTCCACCATTTTTATATCAGCATGAAGCACACCAGCCTCATTGAGAAGTCTCAAGACCATCCTCTCAACATGCAAAGTCAGGAACACTTCTAATTTTAAGAAATTCTAGAAACTCCATGTTCAATTCTAAAAGTAAAGATCAACCCCATAAAACATGCAGCAAAAATTTTGTGTTTATATGCTTTGCTCAAATCATACCACATGATGTCTCCTAATAGATAGCAATTTCAAGCAAAAGTACAGAGCAGATAATCTTCTACACTGTCAATTATAAAATTAGCCTTCTATTGGCATACAAAAGTGAAGGGTATAGACGCACCAAAGCAGAAAATATCAAGTGAACTAAAGGCAATTGATTGCTGCTGCCTCCAACAGTTTATCTGGTAGAGACATGTTAAACTACTGAAATTCATCTGAAGTAACTTTCATCCTTTGAGAATAATAAACGCAGTTTTTCACAGTTTTACTCGATAATAATTCAGAAAAAATGTTATAAACTTTGTTCCATCTAATGGCTGCACAGGTGCATTTCCTGGCTCTTAAGCTTCTTTAGTTCAGTCATCTGAACAGGAAAAACATTATAAAAAAAAATAAAATCAATGTGATTGAGAATTTGTAATAAAGAAAAGGGCCCAGTGAATGAAGTCAAATTATGTAGCTAAAGTGAAATGATTGTTCTACTTGTACTTTCTAAGATAAGTGTGAGCATAATGATATTCAAACATATACCCTTAGGTTATACACAATGTTATAACTTATTATAATTTACCCCAAGGATATTCACAGTTAGAAATAACAATATCGGAAAAAGTATATTCTTTTTGTACCTTTTTCAAACTTGCATTTGGCCCTTTTATTTTCATATTGATGAATTCAGTCCTTCGATTTTTAACATTTAACATTTAATCCTTCTTTATACCTAAATTTAACATTTAATGACGGTTTTTTATCATCACACCGTCACACAGTTTAGAGAATGACTAAATTCATAAATTTTTTCGAAGTTTTAGGACTAATTCATTAATTTGAAAGTACAGGAACCAAAACCAAGTTTGATAAAAAGTATAGAAACCAAAAACATCATTCCTTAACAATATCTATATTTTTTCCAAACAATTTCAAATTAACATATTTAGGGAAAACTACATAAAAAACCACCATTATATGTTTATCTTCTAATGTTTACAATGATTTAGAATGCTTTATTAAAATTATGAAATCATAGTCGGACTACAATTACCAGGTGGTTCAACATTTCAGTGATTAACTTCACAAATAGGACAGGCCAAATTTATAGAAAGTTGTAAGCTGAAAAGATAGTTGACACTGGGAAAGGAAATGAGAAAATAGTGTACAAATAAAAGGTTTATAATCAAATATCAAATGAAAGCAAAGATTCTTTTAATCGTAATATTTATTCATTTGAAGAAGAGAAGTAAGCTTGAGCATCGAAGATGACGAGGATGCCAAAGGGGTTTTTGGCTTTTGATGTTGACATTGAAAACAATTTGACTTGGGGAGATATTGCCAATTTTGCATGTGTGCATAAGCCTTTTGTTTATACTAGACAGTGAGCAAGACAAGGGTATGCGCTCCTGCACTTTCAACCCAAACATTGTAAATTAATGAAACTGTTAAAAAGGAGGAAGAGGAAGCAATCTACAGCTGTCACAGTGGTTCTGCTGATACGGAGAAGATTTGGATTTAGAAGATGATTGATGATTTCTATTTCTTATATAGTATCTAGGAGAATAGGAAACTTGTATTTTGTTGATAGTTACTTCTATGTTCCATTTAAGACACCTATCGAGTATGGACACCTGTGACTTTGTTGTTATACATTGGCTAATGTAGAGTTGCTGACTTGTTGCTTTATATATGTAGTTATGTATGATTCTGTTTCTGCTAAGGGAGTTTGACTGTCTGTCTTATATATCTATGATTCTGTTTCTGTTAAGGGAGTTCTTGACTTGCTGTGATATATGTATATTCCTGTGAATATATACTGTACCGCTATAGCTCTTTTGGGATGGCTGCTATCCAGAATTTAAAGCATTGAGTTGAACACACAATAAATGGCAAAACCTATTCAGCCAAATCATTGAAAGATAATATTTCACTAAATTTTTTTTGTGTACAACTACATCTTAGGTAAAAAATCATCAATTTACCATATACAAAAACGATTGTTATTGCATTATGAAAGACTGAAGTATATGCTCATCACCTTGAGATGGATCATCTGACCCGGGTAAAGCCAGCCAGTCATATGACCTTACATGTAAAGAACCATAAAGAAGTTTGCTCAAAACAGTCATTCCAGGATGATTATGAAGTGGAATAATAGACCCAGGGGCCATGCAGAAGATTCCCATCTGCAAAAGAAAAACTCCACCCTTATGAATCGAACCTCCACATCTAAATTCAGAAAGGAAGACTCCAAACAGATTAACAAGAAGACTGTCAAAATCTGCAGAGAGAAATAGAAAAAAAGAAGAAAAAAAGCTTACAGAGAATTTGTCACATTCATGTAAGTGGATGTAGTTAATCGGGGGTGGATACTGATAACTTCCATTACGTCCCTTTTTGCCATTAGTACCATTCAAAGAACCTTTCCAACCACGCACCATTTGTGCCTCTTGTTCGAGACCCACATTAGAAGGCTTCAACTCATCTGGCGTGGCAGTGACAACAATGAAAAAGTTAACACAAGGACACACTCTTCACTATGAAATAAATAGCAACTTAACAAGCATATCAAATCAAGCACTAAATTCTACATTTCACAGAAAATTATATTGGAACATTATCAAGGGTAGATAATTGATTGCACCTAAAAGTGCTCGAACTTTTTCAAGAGCTTCTTCTGAGATGGGTCCCTCAGGAGACAAAGATGCCTTGCAAGTATCATATAATTTCTGAACAATTGGCATTATGTAGCTACCAAGCACCACCCAATGCTTCTTAACCAATCTGAATATGATGAATTTTGAGAATCCAACGAACCAAGATGAGGTGGATGTAATGTAAACTTGAATCCAAAGTGGCACTTGGGTCACTTGACTTTATATCGAAAAAGTAAAAGGACCAGCTTCCTTTGTACGCAACAAAAATACATTTGCGTAATTGATCAGCTCAACTCCATTTCCAAGCACCTTGACAAGGGAAAAATTACCACAAATTAGAATAAAATGAGTTCATAGCATATCATATAACGCGTGTGTGAAGAAGTGCAAGGGAAGAATGTAAGAAGGTATAACACAGTAGGGAAAGAGGAAAACCCAATTCCGAATGATGGGTGTGGTGAAAGACAGAGATCGGAGAAGAAGGCTTGAATGAATGTCATACATTAAACGGCTCTCCCTCGGGCTCAGGACAACATCGGGGTGGGCACTGACGAGGGACCAGAATAGAACAGAGCAAAGCAGACAATAAAAGACACTTGCACAAAACCAGATGTCGTTTTTAGAATACCACCAGCGATCTTTGGATGGTTTTTTTTTTTAGAAGATAAAAAGGATAGAAAGTGAAAGAAATATAACCCGACACAGAAGAAAAATAACATAATTATTAATATTATTGATAGAAGGATTTATTGAAACAATCTTGCAGCTAGTTTTTTTAAATATAGTGGTTTAAAATAATAAATAAAAATATTAAAATTAATGTGAGAGTAAATTAAAAATCACTATAGGAATAATTGATGATAATTTTTTTATATTATATTTTTTAATTGTTTAATTGATATATTAAATTTGTCACACAAAAATGTAAATTGTTTTATATTTTTATTTTTAATAAGTTTTTTAAATGGTGTATATATTCAAGGAATCAATCAATAAAATACTTTTATTTGAAATAGTATTAAATTTAATGAAATAGTGTATTATTTCACTTTTCAAAAAATAAATAAAATCTATTTTATTAGTCTTTTTCTCCCATCCTTTTCATAAGTGGTGAGTATCTTAAGCCTTCTTCTTGATATGATTAAAAGTATTATACGTAGTTGTCTTGACTTTTCTCATCATTACAAACCTATGTCTTGCCTTCTCATAGTTGTCATAAGGAGTGTTGGGACAATGTCTCAAGTGGGAGGTACCCTTACATATAGTGTGTTCATCATGTTAGTTAACAAGAGAGATGTCAAAGAAAGTGATTGTTTTCCACTAACAATATAAACATTCATCCTCATGCCCCCGTGAACTATCTTCAAGTATGGATATGGGCCTTTTAGGTTTATCTGAAAATGATGGTCACTTGAAAATATTTTGATGTTTATATGAGAATAAGATGTGCTTAGAAAAGGGTTTATTGGCATGCATATAATAATAAATGAAAATAACATGTTTGGTTAATACAAAGTTAACTACTCATTTGTGGTTCAAAACTAGGTTAGTGGTTGGTGAGAAACTCATGTGTGCTAGGCAATGAACCAGCACTTTAGCTAACATTGGAAATATATTAAATTGTAAACTGATTTGCCTAGTCTTACTAGATAATTTAATTTGAAGTGTTGAAAATATAATACATGATATAATAATTGATTCTATTACATATGCACCTCTTTAAAAGTTAATTTGCAAGGTCAACTAATAATAATTTATTGAAAACGAGTTCTCCCCTCTCTTTTTTTATTATATTTTGCTAAATATCTTGTTAACTATTTATAAAAGTCCTCAATGACTAAAACTTTTTCAACAAGATATTTATAAATTTGAATTATCATAAACAAATTAAAAATTGTTTGCATGATGAATTATCTTTTGTATATAGTAGAAAATGAGATGGTTGCTTTGTTTTAAAATAAGTTGATGTTTGTATTCTCTAAATATTTTCAATTAGATGTTTGTGTTCATCTTAATGTAAGAGATAAGGATTTTATGCCAAGAGAATGGAGTTTTGGTGAAATCTAAACTTTAATATATGTGCTTATGTTTTATTAGATTCAAGCAAGATGAACATAATTTGTGAAATTTTTATATTATATTTTAATGTTTATCATTACACCAATATCCTACATATTTGTGAAAATTCATTGCTACAATTATGATAAGATTTAATTGCACCAGTTCATGAAAAAAAGTCTTGTATTTCTTTTCTCATATTTCTTATCATTAACACTTGTTAGATAAAAATAATTATAATAAAAATTAGTTTGAATTGATTAATTAGTTATTAAGGATAATTTAAATAATTTCATAATAATTTTTAGCTTATATTTCAGGATAGTCTCATCTCATTATATTTAGATTTAGTATTAATTAGGAAGTATCTTAGACAAAATAAAAGTTAAAATTATGACGAAAAATAAAAAGTGTAGGTTATTGAAAGAGAAATTTTAAAAACTAAAAATTCTAATACAGAAACAAGCTATATATCACTTTACAAGATGGTGTTGAGATAATTCTTATTCTATAAGAAATTAGATTGATAGAATATCCAATTTATCAACTTAGATTAAGAAAAAAAATCTTATTCAAAATTAAGGCTAAATAATTGTTGAACATATATATCCCATAATAATGAATGAAGATAGAAAAGATCACTAATCAATACTAATACCATTAATTTGTCTTTTATTGTGCATGTAACACCTTTAGATGTTATAACTGTGGTCATCACATTATGATTTAATTAGTGCATTTTCGTACCTTTTAATTCTAAAACTTATATAAATCTCGGTATTATTAATATATATATATATATATATATATATATATATTAAAAATATTATTTATTTAAAAATATAAAATCTTCAAATATAAATTAAAATATAAAGGGAAACGTCCTTATATTTAGAGTAGATAGTAAGTTTAGATATTTTATTTCTACGTTAAATTAATAGTTTATTTTTTTATTTAAAAATAATTTAAAATTAAAAAAAGAAAAAAAATATTAAATATTTAAATTATATTAATAAAAAAGTTTATGTTTTTAATATAATAATTATGATATATAAATTATAATTTATTTTTAATAAAATAATATTATTTTAAATTGGATGCATTAAGTTCTTTAATAGACTAGATTATCTTTATTAAAATAATAAATTATCTTTATTATTACTCTTTGGCAGAGCTAGTCACTAGTCTTAAATTTAAATACCTAAATTGGTAGTTGAATTTTAATTTGACTTATTTTTCTATTATAGATATATTTTTTAAGTCTTAATTTGACCTCTTTAATATGTTATTATTATAAAATTACTTATTATTTCATAAGCTTTTATTTTAAGTTTAACTAAAATAATCAATTATTTAAAATAATAAAGAATAAAACAGAATATTTTGTATGGTTGTACTTGCATGATTATTGATTGAATGTAGATTCATGATTTACAAAAATTACCACAACACTCTTGTGTTTAAAATTTTCAATTTTTTCAACATTTTAGTTATAATAATATTTATTTTGTCACAAAATTTTATTATAATAATTATGTTCATTTTTATTTTCAAAGTATTAGTTGATTTTACTAAAATTGTCACAAATTAATTTAATGTAATTCAATCATACAACAACGAATCATACATTACCATTCATATCATAAATATTTGATATTACAAAGACTTACTCTTTAGTTTTAAAATACATATGGGTTTAATTGGACGTAGGGTCTACATAATTATATTATATTCACTAAGTGAATAATTCAACATAAATACATAATTAATTAAAAACATATTTTCTCACTTAACAAAATTAATTCATATAATTTATCATATACGACTCTTTCTCATATGAGACGAAGTTATAGAAATTTCATTCAACTATTTACTATTTACTTTTATGTGAGATAAAGTCACAAAATCTCTTAGATTCAATATATTATTTGCATCACGTATATTTATTTCAAAACTATTATTTATACTTTCACAATAAATTACATGTAACATACTTGTAGTTTACATAAAAAAATTAATGTCATTCATAGGTATCATTTTTTATTAAAAAAACAAATGTTATATATTTAATTGCATGTTAAAGAGTTAAATTCATTAATTAGAAATAATATATTTTTCAAAAATTCATGTTTTTCATTAAGAATTATCACTTGAGTAAATTATACTTACTTAGTGAGATTTTCTTTCAATTTTCTCGTTCTACTTTATAAAATTTTAAAATATTACTAAAACTTTTATTCATTCCTTTGAAATATTTTTGCTCCAACAAAAATGAAATTGAGACTCTCTTACTATTTTAGAAATCTTTTTCTTGAATGGTGAATCCTTAGTTAAACAAAAATGAGACTAAGATAATTTTCTTTACTATAAATTTTATCACTTAAGTAAATTAACTCTCATAAGAAGTCTTCACTTTTTAATGCATTTTCTTTTAAGTGACGTCGCTTGAGTGAATTATGCATAAAACATTATTTATGTAGAAAGTATAACAAAAATTCAAAAGCACCAAGTAATTTCTAAGAGATCCTGCTATTTAATTTTCTCCCAAAATATTCAATCAAATCTCATTAATTGAAACAATCAATAACTATCATCAAATTATCATAGTTAATTACAAAATTGAAATTCTTAAGTATCTTATGTATAAATATTTATCCTTTCTTCAAGCATGGATTTCTCTTTTAAAAAGTTAAAGAAAAAGTATCTCCAAATTTTTTAATTTGTTAAAAATATCGTTTTAATATGTTAATTTGTTATTTAGTAAGTTTTTTAATTAATATATTTTTTTATTTAATTTATTAATTTTACTTAAACAGATAAAGAACTTCATCATTCACAGTTTTATGTTGAGAATTTAAGTGTGAATTTGAAATCTCACATTGGGTAGAAATGAGAAAGTTGAGTAACTTATAAGTACAAAAGACTCATAACATAATGCCTTAAGGTTTTGAGTTGAAGATAGTACCATTATTCGCTTAATCTAAATAGCTTTCTTACATGGCTGGGTGACTATCATATACTCAATTTTTGTGATAGACAGAATTACAACATCTTATAACTTAGATAATCAATTATTGCCTATCCAACAAAGGTAAAATCATCAAGATCATGATATTCATAAGATTTCTCACTGTGGATGCAAACAATATTCAAGACATTTTCACCCTCCCTATTTCATTGCTAGGACTTATACTTGAGGATAATTTAATAGAAAATGGGGGTAGAAATTGACTTACACCTTTGCATGTTGAAGCACTGCAAGACTTTCAGTAAGTAATTCTTCTTATAAAACCAAATTTTCCTATCTTTTATGTCCCGATGAATTTGCATCCCTAAAATCTTATTTGTTGGTCCCTAGTTCTTCATATCAGATTTCCTAGCTAATTGTACCTTCAAAACTTAGATTCAAACTTTGTTAGAGCCTACCACCAATATGTCATCAATATACAACGACAAAATGATAAAATCATTCTCATCAAATCTATTGTAATAGGTACAATAATTTAAATTTAGTCTGTTGTAATCAAGGCTAATCATAAAGAATCAAATTTGTTGTACTAACTCTTTGACACCCAAGTTTCAACCGTATAGAGATTTAGTCAACCTGCAAACCAACTTTTCTTTTCTTTAAGTCTTTTGGTTGGAGCACATCAATCTTTTCTCCAAGTTCATTTTAAAGAAAAATAATATTTGTATCTCCGCTAACAATAACCTTGTGGATAATGGGATCCACAAGAAATACCCCTTCACATTATTAACATAGTCCAACAATTTGTCTTTCATAAACTTTGAAAACACAAACTTCCTCTTGATATGGTACATCCATAATCTCTTGGAGTAATCATTATCATCACTAACAAAATATTTGGCCCCTCCTCGGGGTAATACCGACGATTCCAACACATCATAATAAATCAAATCCAATATGTGTTTCTTCCTGATAGTCACTTTAGAAAACTTCAGTCTATGTTACTATAAACCAACAATCTTTCTTGACATACACTCTCTTACCACAATGCTAGTAAATGAGATTCTTCTTTCCTTGAGAATTTGATCTACCATGATTTTACTCCCACTAGAATCATATTTCATTGATATACCCCTCATCATCGTCAAAGCTTCTGTTTGGTTCAGACTTTCCACCCTACTTTTTCGCCTAGATTATTCTTCAAGAATAGTTCCGGGAACATCCCCAAAGTGTAAATGTCCATTGACGAGTTGATCATACAAATCTGGTAAGCTTTGAAATAGAAGTTCTGCACGTTTATTTTCAATTATGTTCAAATTTACCGCTGAAAATTGGGAAAACAACGTATTAAGATTTTGATGTGGTCCGTCACCGATGTGAACTCGGTGAAGTGACTTAACCTCGTACAATTTGATGAGAGACTCTTAAACCTCCTTTGTTGTACCATTCTCCGCAAATTTGATATATCATTGTTGTTGATTTCTTTCCACCTTCGATCTGTGATGCCCACAAATCTTTCTCTAATTGCTTCTACACAATTATCTTTTATCAAAATTACCTTCATCATCAATTTTCATAATGAGAAATTATTTCCATTGAACTTTTTTATCTTATATTTTGTTGTCATGGTGTTAACTGACTTATACATCTTTCACTATGAATAGTATTGCCTACTGGAACAATAGCGTAAATCGTAACTAGTACACCTTTTACTATGAATAATATTACCTACTGGAACAATAGCGTAGACCGTAACTAGTACAACTTTCACTATGAATAGTATTTCCTACTAGAACAATAGCGTAGACCGTAACTAGTACACCTTTCACTATGAATAGTATTTCCTACTAGAACAATAGCGTAGACCGTAACTAGTATACCACGTAAGCTCTTAGGAAAAGAGGTGGATCGCTAATTGACACGCTTAAATACTAAGTCTTTTCTTGCTAAAACTTTTCCTAAACATGCACTATCACACTACCACACTTTATATTCAATAATTATAATAATTTTTTTTATATAGAAGATCAGATTAACTATAATCACATAATATATTAAGAATTTTCTCCAACAATGTTCTAATAACTATTACAACGAAATAATATCACAAATAAGAAACCAACCATGCTCTGATACCACTATTAGAATCAGAGTAACTCCATAAGAACTCACAAAAATAAAAGATGATAAAATAGGAACAAAATCGACAATAGACAATAATAGAATTGTACTACCGAAAGAAATTACAATACTCTCTTTAAATCTTAGGATAAAATAATAATAATATACTCTCTACGAAACAAGAGAAGGAAAAAATTTGAAGTAATTTACAAGATAAACATTATATCTCTTTTATAACAAGAAAAAGTAACACTAACCTATAAATTTGCTTATGTAAGACTTCTTTTCTCACTTGTAAAGACTAAATTCATTAAATTAAACATACTATTATAATACTAAATTACCAAAAAAAAAAAACAAAAGTGATTGCATGTAAGCAGTTTTAAAATATATCCAATGCTCAAATCTTAGGTGTAACCTACCTTAGAAAAATGGTAAAGATAAATATACTTTAATAAAAATTCTAATCAAGATCAATATATTTTTTTTCGTCGCTAAAAATATAATTTTGTATTTAGATATAAGAAAAGATGAGAAATAGGTGAAGAAATAAAAAAATAATAAAAATCTGAGGATTCAAAATTTAGAAAATTAATTGATTTATAAAAATAAAATTTTAATAATAAAAATTGTCTATTTAATTTTTTTAATTGAAGGATAAACATTTTCCAACTTTACTTCATTTAGTCGTTAGTACTGATAAACTACAAAAGACTTGTCCTTGCATTATTTAACATTTTCACTTATTGCTATTTTATATGGATAATTTTTTATTTATTTATTTTTGAAAATTTTGCAATTATTTCTAGAAGATAAAATTTTCACAATAAATAAATTATGGTCTGGTAATGTAAATACAAAAAATTAATTTATAATGTTTTTACTTTAACTTCAACTTTAAAAAAGTTTAATTGTACTAAATTTAATTATACATAATTAAATATTTATTTATATAAATAATTATATTATATAATTTAAAATTAAAATTGATTAAGTTACAGGATTACACTTTGTCATCTCAAGAATATTTTGCATATATCTGTTAACAGTTAACCATTCAAGTGAAATATTTTTGTCATATAAATAAAGGCATAACAACTTATCCAATTCTAAAAATATCCACATAGCTTTAAATACATTTGTTAGTCAATGAATTACAGATTTAAACAAGTAAATATCTGGCTTGAACATATTTTATTGATTTAATTAACTACCCACGAGAATAAATGAAAAAAAATTATGTTGGTTATTAAAACATTAATATATTGAGTTTCAATTTTATTTGTAGGTGATAAGAGTTAATTGATTAATATAAAATCTTATAAATTACAGTTGTAATAAAAAACATTATAGATTACATTTATAATGACAATATTTTAAAATAAATAATGTATTCAGACGTATTTTTTTGTAATATAAAAATTAAAAAAAGTATTAATGTGTTATAGAAAAAGTTAGTTTGGACAGAAGAAGAAGACATGGGAGGTATGGTTGTGAAGGGATCACACACGTACATGCGTTGTCTTTGAGCAAAAAATAGTTAGAAGTTGTGATTTATTTTTACAAGTGATAGGTTTGTAACAAAATAAATTCCGCGTCCTAATTTATTGGACGTGGGAAATGCTACAAAATTTTAAAAATATTGAGATAATAATAATAATTATAAAAACAATAATAATTTGAAGAAAAAAAAGCAAAAACAAAATTGGGAGGTGGGTTGATGGTGGGAATGATGAGAGAGAGGCACGAGAGGACAGAGAGAAACTAAGAAACAAACTACAGAAAAGAGAGAAAAATCAAACATCCAACAAAGGGAGAGATAAAAAAGTGTTTCATGAAGAAGATGGTCGAAGAGAGGGTCCTCTGAGATCATTCTGAAAAGGCAGCAATAGAATAAGAATCAAAGGAAGAGGGAAACAACATAAGAATTTGAAGATTTATTTGTTTTGAACTTTTGCTGCCTTTTTGTGTGTTCTCAATTTGTCCCTACCCAACGCCCCTTCTTATACACTAGGAAATAATTGCAAGAAGAACTGTTCTTTTCCTGCACCTTTTTGTCTCTTTTGCATGGTAATTCGTCTTTTATACGAATGTTTGATTAATTCTATTTTTTGTGTTGTTGCGATGTTAATTATTTTAATCTCTCTGAAATCCATTCCTTTCTCACGAATTAAATTTCTTTCAGCTCCACCAATTGTTGAGGATAATTGAGAACAGATATGGATTTAATCCGACAATGTATTTTGTGGAGAAACTTGTAACAAAGAGATAACATTTACAAAAGAAATGAGAGATCCTGGTCTGATTTGCAGACCTAAGGCTTAATTTTTCATGCTTCACCACGCCAGCTATTCCCTAGTTAGTGAGTTTCTTTTGCTTCAACCAATTATTGATGGGTTCCTCTGTATAAAAAACCTGGCAATTGTGGATATTATAATATTGCGTCCTGGCTACCGAAGAATATAGACACTGCCTTAATCACATTTTGGCATCGGCTTCTCAAAGAAATGGATATGAGATGGAACACATTTGGATTTTGTCTAAGAATTTCTATTTGCTTGATCTCTGTGTGGGGAATCCGAGATTGTTGGTCTATTAATGATGAAGGTTATCCTTTAAGCCTTTCATCTCTACAACAAATGCATGTCTTTGCTTCAATCTTGATTTTGTTTTTGTTGATTTTATCATGGATGAAAAATTCAGGATTGGCTTTGTTAGCGTTTCAAGGGAGAATAACCTTAGATCCCTTCAATGCTTTGGGAAATTGGAATCCCAATGATAATGATCCTTGCAAGTGGGTGGGTGTTCATTGTGTAAATGGCAAAGTACAGGGGCTGTAAGTGATTCCTTTCCATTTTTATTTCTCAAAAACTTTGTTGGTTGATGTTTAAATAAAAGAACACTCTCTAAGATAAACTGTTGCATAATTTTTTTTGGCTGAAATTGATGTCTTTCTATTTTTGTAGGGAATTAAAAGGGTTGTCTTTAGGAGGAACATTAGCTCCTGAGCTTGGCAAACTGAATCACTTAACTTCTCTGTAAGGATCTTCACCATGTCTCAATTTAATTATTTTTTATAATTCTTAACATTGTTTGTTCTTTTCGTTAGTGTAAAAAATATTGTCATTTTTAGGTCATCGCCAGGAGAGTCACAAAATGTGCCCATTTTTTAATTTCTAACCATATAACTGAGTCCCAACAAAATATGCTTGTTTTCTTATGTTCAAATACATGATGTGGAAAAAAGAAAAATTATTGCAATTCCCCCCCGTAAAGTTTGATTATGTATTTTTTCTATAGATTATTATTGTCTTTTCAGAACGTAATTCCCTTCCCATCACCATTATTTAAACTAAAATTATAATGAATTTGACTCTGGTACTTTCGAAACTTTCCCACATGAATCTATTTACATTAACTATTATTAATTGTTAACTACCTTTAACAAGATGATGAAAGAGTAGTTTTGCGTGATTCACCGAGTTATAATCATCGAGTTTTGACACTTGCTAGTATTTAAAGTGTTTGCATCAGTTATTTTCTTTATTTCCTAATGTTAAAAAATAGATGCCATTTGTAGTGAAATAATTTTTCAGTTAACGCATTGGGATGGTGAAGATTGGGTACAATAACTTGTATCTCTCCTCTTTAATCTTCTATGCGATGTCATTTCATTTTCCAAACTTAAATAGCATTTTTTTTTCCTAAAAAAAAGTCAAACTCTAGGTAGCTACATAATTTTGATTTTTGCATTAGTATATAGAAAAACAAATGAAGACCTAAAGGTACTTTGTTTTCAATGACATATTACTGTGAATCATTTCTATTTAATTACTTTAATTCCTTGCATGATTTCACACCATATTGATGTTAGTCATCTAAGAAAATATATCTAACATTATATTTTATGATCTTCATGTTTTTTCTACGATAGTGTATTATGCAAGAACAACTTTTCTGGTGTGATTCCCAAAGAATTGGGAGATTTGCCCAAGCTCGATTTATTAGATTTGAGGGAAAATAATCTGTCAGGAGACATCCCAGAACAAATTGGCAAGTTGTCATTGTTAAAAAACTTGTAAGTTAATTCTCTATTTTGTTTACATGTTTTATTAGGTTCATAATATTCTTCAATGAAAAATTATTTTATCCGAGGTTGCTTTCTGACAATAAAATTGAATGTGACGGTGATCCTCGACATGTAGGAAAGTTCAAATTTCCTTCAATATCTCTACTTGTTGAAAGTTATTCTCACCTTTGACAACTTCATTTCCCTGCATCAATGGGAAATTTGGACACTGACAAGCATTTCTTCAAAATTTACCCCCTAACCAAGTGACCTTAGTAGTTTCATTACATGTTTTTCTTCCATCTGTGTCAATAATGTAGAGAGAATTCATTGAGAAACAACATTCTCTCTTTTAAATCTTGCCCTTTTGTATACCAAAATTTCAACATTCGCAATCACTGAATAACATGTGTCTCAAATACTTTAATTTGTATCGTTAACAAATTTTGTAGAATGATATCAATTTATAACTGTGTATGCTTTTTATGGATGACATACACAGTGTGTGGCAACGTAACTTCAAAGTATGGAACAAATCAGATTCGTTGATTACTCTACCTAGAGCAACACTGGTTAGATATGTCAATGCCTTTACTTGGCCACTGTACGTAGATAACTTTTGGCAACATATTAACCTCAACAGGCACATATGTTTTTCAACTCGCTAAACATTTGTCTTTTCTTTGTAGGTTCAAGTTAGGGAAGTCTGCCTCTGATGGTCATGAACAGGATTACTGTGACATTCTGCCTAGTGAGTGAAGAACCCTCCATATTTATGACATGTTATGAATTTGAAAATGCATCTTATTGACATTCACAATAAGTATTGAATGATGTAGATTACAACGTGCCAAAGACTGCACAAAATGTACTAGAACTTGTTGGTTCTCGTTCTCCACGTCGTAAATTACTTCAGACCAGTGGTAATAACAACCTGGCAGCAGCACCATTCAGTGACAAACCTACAATAGAGTTTAGCACTATTCCCATTACATTTAGTAGTGGAGCTTTCCCAGCTGTGCCAGATACCAATAAGAACCAATATCAATCACCTGCAATCTCAGATCTACCTGATGCTCCAGATGATAATGCTCCTGATAAAAATCAATCACATACTTCAGATGAAAATCAAACAAGTCAAGATGTAAATAATGGTGATTCTAGAACATTGTGGAATATAATTATTATTATTTTTATAGCTATATTGGTCATTATCTTCATAACCTTTTTGTACATTTGGCGAAAACGAGCTGCAAAAGTAATATGCCCCTGGAAATCAGGAATAAGTGGACAGTTGCGTAAAGCATTCATAACAGGTAAATAGTTTTAAGAGGTGAACATACAAAAACATTTAATATTGAACTAAAGATTATTTAATTTAAACAATGCTAACTCATATTTGAATAATTATGTTCTTTTTCTTTTATATTATCAAGTGGTGTGATTTTGTGTTCATAAGTTTTAAAGATGGTTGTGCTTGTGTACATGCATGCATACTTATTAAATTCGTTTAAGCATAATCTTCACAATTAGTAAAGTAGCAATTTAGGATTTATTTTTTTAGTATGACCAATTGATTTATGCCATATGTAGAATTTTTCATAAATGAAATTTGAACTTTCTTATTTGAGTTATTAGTTCAATCAAGGAATGATAAAAAAATTTATGAACATTTGGGGATTTTAGTATATGTCAAGAATAAAGTCTGATGACTTTCATTTGCAGTGTGCCAAGAAAATAATTTATTATTTGCTGAGGTTGTTTGATAAACCTATAATGTCTACCTGTCTTCTCATGAAATGTAGGGGTTCCCAAATTGAATAGAGCAGAGTTAGAGACAGCTTGTGAGGATTTTAGTAACATTGTTGTGAGTGAGTATGAAGAATGTACCATCTATAAAGGAACATTGTCGAATGGGGTTGAGATTGCAGTTGTTTCTACTCTAATTACCTCTTCTCAAGATTGGTCAAAGCACATGGAGATGAAATACCGCAATAAGGTTTCTATTTTCAAGTCCACTCTAATGCAACGTTAAGAGGGATTCAATTTTAATTTTTTTCTTATGTTCTCCAGATTGATACTTTGTCTCGCATAAATCATAAAAACTTTGTTAATCTTATCGGATTCTGTGAAGAGGAAGAACCATTCACTAGAATGCTGGTGTTTGAATATGCCCCAAATGGAAACGTATTTGAGCATATACATGGTACAATCCTTTGTTTTAGATGTTTACTCAAAGAAAATTTGATTCGTCTGTATACATACGTTATGTATATTTTATTTCTTTCTAATTTCAGTTGAAGATATGGAAAGTCTTGATTGGGGTGCAAGGGTAAGGATTATCATGGGTGTTGCCTATTGCCTTCAATACATGCATCATGACTTAAATCCACCTGTGGCTCAATCCAAGGTTTCTTCAAAGCGAGTATTTTTAACGGATGATTTTGCTGCTAAGGTGCAAACAAGTTATCTTCTTTTTTTTTATTTGGTTTTTATCATACGTTCACATCCAATTAACACATTTTTCCATTCATTGTTCATTCAGGTTGCAGAGGTTACTTTCAAACAAATTGTGTCAACAAATGAGACAACTGGTGATTCAAAGAAATCTGGCGGGTCATCTCAAGAAGATCTTGAAACCAACGTGTATGACTTTGGATTATTATTACTTGAAATCATATCAGGAAAAGTACTCTACTCTGAAGAAAATGGCAACCTTTTGGACGGGGTAAGTTTGAAACATAAATCGGTTGTCTACTTTTGGTTTAGGGTGTAACTTTGTTATTATTCATGTACGTATGCTTAACAAATCAATGGTCATTAATACTGCAGGCTTCTAAGTACCTCAATGACCAAACAAGCATGAAAAACTTGATCGATCCCACCCTCAAATCTTTCAAAGAGAACGAATTTGGTGCCATCTGTGAGGTGATCCAAGAGTGTGTCCAACCTGATCCAAAGTTAAGACCAAGCATGAGAGACGTGACTTCCAAATTAAGGGGACTGCTTGATGTGTCACCTGAACAAGCAGTTCCAAGACTTTCTCCACTATGGTGGGCCGAATTGGAAATCTTGTCAGTGGAGGCCACTTAAGTTTTATTTCACTCTCTCTTTTATATGTGTTAAGTCTTGCTAACCTCCATCATCTAACAGGGTGAAAAGTATGATACAAATGTTATTCAAATTATATTTTACTTCCTTAGATATTCATGTCCAAATGAAACTGTGTTATGTTGTTTTGCAAAGAAGGTATAATATAGATTGTATTTTTATTGAAGGAGTTAATTTAAGTTGTAAAAGTTCTAACATGTGTTGGTATTACTAAGTCCCCCAATGAACATGCAGGTTTATAAGAAGGGAATTTGTGATAATAAGATATAGGGTGTGTAAGATAAAAATTATAATGTTACAAAAAAATTCAAATATTAATAGAAATAAATTATGATATATATATATATATATATATATATATATATATATATATATATATAAATTACATTACAAGTATAGGAATCAAACTATAGTTTGATGAAAAAACATAAACATAATCTTGCATAATACTGGCTTAATGAAAATCACCTGATCATTGAATATTTGATTGAGTCATAAACCTATATGTCTCCAAGGACTTTCTCAACGACTCCTGACCGAACTTGCTTAATGAAATTGTGCTTTTATAGAATTGCTACCTTTTACAAAAAAAAAAAAAAAAATATATATATATATATATATATATATATATATATATATATATTAAAAACTAATAGAGTAAATAAAAAGTGAAACATCAAATACAAAATTAATCAATTTACGAACAGTAGAAGCTATTCAACTCTTTATTTTATTTTTTTTATTTTATTAAAGTTTCTGTCATTTTATGAGATAAGGACTTGGGCTTTGCTTGGACCCTAACTGAAGTTGCATAGGTGATCCGTTGAATCTTCTATTGATTTTGTTTCAAGAACATTACATCACAGACGCATTCCTGTGATTTCTCTTATGTCAATTCTTTTTATTCTCTTTCTTTCCATTACTTCTTATGCCAATTCTTACTTTTAAATTCATATTAAAGAAGGTGTCAGATTCTTTATATATTATTATTATTATTATTATGTTCTACTGGGAAAACTTAAATAATAATAATAATAACAATAAAACATTACAATTTTAGTTAAATACGTCATAAATGTTAAAAAATAGTTTTTTTAATCTTATTATACATATTAAAAAATTGAGTACAACATTCTTTTATGTGATAATGTATATATCCAGTAACGGAGTTTAACATAAAAAGATTAGGGTTACCAAATAAAATTGTCATAAAACCATGAGTTACTAAATAAAATTTAATATAAAAATAAAGATATCATATATTATTATATTACATTATATAAACACGTCTATATATAAGGTTAATTATAAAATTTAGGGGAACCACAGAGCTTCCCTCTACTCCTTGTAAGATCGTCTATATCTTGAAGTTTTTCTTTAAATTAAAACTATACAAAGTTAAAATAATAATATTGATGATAATATATATAAACTAAAACTTATCATAATTATTCGGAATCAAATACTAAATTTTATATAAATATTAATAAAATAAAACAAATTAATAGATTTAATATTCTTTTAATAATATAGTTTAAACTTATAAATTATGAAAAATTGTCAAATTAAAATTTATTTAAGTTCAAAAAATATTTAATGTTAAAATCAAATTAAAATAAATAATATTGTCTAAAAATAGATAATGAATTAATTGGATACACATTTTTCTAATTCTGGAACTTAAAAATGTATGTTATGATAATATGCAGTTCTATTTTTTTTTTTTGAATTGATCATATTTTTAAATAATAATAATAATGAAAAAATAAAAAATATTCTAATAGATTAGTGTTATTGTAAACTTCTACATTTTTCTCTAAAAATATGAGGGGTGAGAGTTCAAAAATATTAAAATTTAATAAAATTTAAAAAATTATCAGCGTTATGTAAATATTTTCCATCTTAAAGAACTAGTAATCCATCTTAATGTTATTTTCATTTATCCTTTTCCATTTTCAAAACCAAAGAATATACATAAGAGAAATAGTGGGTGGATGTGTGAGCGCCAGCAATTGCGTAAAGGTAGAAAAAAAAAAAGGAAAAAAAAAATCTCAATCTTCTGTGAAACATACCAAACAACATATAGAGAAAGCGTAGAAGAAGAAGAAGAATACGAGAGCAATTGCAAAAGGATAGAGAGAAGAGGAGAGAAAACAAGAATCTCAATCTTTTGTTTGGAAATAATAATCCAAGTATTTAAAGAATAAACTCTTGTTTCCAAACACATTGTTTATGTAATAGAAGGTATAATGACATCACATGGAAACGTCACTCTCTCGGGAAACTCTTTTAAACGTCACTTTCTCGTGAAGGCAACAGGAAGCATGACAGGGACTTATTTTTAGTGTAGAAACTGAAGAACAACTGGTTCTGTTCTGTCATGTTTCTGACTGTTCATGTTTGCGGAGGCGTGGCCCCTCAATCACACACCACCTTGCACCGCCGTTCAAACCATTTCGCTTCTCTGTGCTCATGCACCCCATCAACATTTCACAACACAAACAAATGTAATAAAAAATGCCCCTCACCACACTTTCCCTTGAATTCCTCTCTGATGTCTACGGATCCATAACTACGCCACTCTCCAGCACTACCACCACCATCCTATGTATCAATACTACACTACCATGTGACATCTTAAGCAGGTGTTGTGCTGTGCTGCTGTTGACTTTCTCCTTTTCGTACCACATTCTTTAATATGCAGAGTCAATTATGAGTTCTATAAGGATGTCTTTCTTCTAAGATTCTTTTTTAGTAATTATAAAAATGAAAAAACAACTTATGAACAGTACTATCATTCCTTGCTTTTCAGAAAAGAAATAATATCATATATTCATCAACCATTTCTTCCCCTTTTCTTTTACAACATAGAAATAAAGAACTTTGCGGCAAGTACAAGAGTTCTAGCTAGCCCCAACCGCCCGCATAACATAAGCATGAACTAAACAACAACATATTTTTTGTTTTTTGTCTTAATGATGAGAAACTGAACAAACTTAATTAACGAACCAACCCTAAAGGTGCACAGTTTTATTTTACTCTTCTTTTGGCTAGCTAGTACGGTGGATCACACTTCACTTGTCCTGGTTCACATTGATTGCGGTCTCATCAGCCTCAGCCATGTCGTCCTTCTTCTTCTTCTTCCCCCACTGTTTGAGTCGCAGCTGCGTAGTTATATTTGCAGCCAAGAAGTCCACACTCTGCATTGGAGTAAGCAAATCCAACACCCCTTTGAGTGTCTTGAGCCTCACGCAATCCGAAGCCTTCATGATCCTCTCCAACTCTCCAATAACCTCACTCACGGCCACTTTCGCAACCGCATCCGCCTTATCACCACCAGCACCACCAGCGCTCCTTAAACGGTTGGTGAACTTCGCCAACTCCACCATCTTACGGTCCGCCATGGCCACCTGCTGCCTCTCCATCTCCCTCTCCACCTTCTCCTCCTCCATCCTTATCCTCTTCTTCAGCTCCTCCGTCTTCTTCTCCTGATCCTCCGTCATCACCAAAACGTCCCCCTTCTTCAGATTGTCCACCAGCCTGAACACCGTGGAGGGCTTCCACCCCGTCACCCAAAGCTGAGCATTCTCCAAAGGGTTCAGCCACGTCGGAGAAAAGAAAATCAGAGCGTCTGCACGTGCGGCAGCCCATTTGGTGGTGTAGTATTCCTTCAAATGGGATGTCACAGTGGACACCAGAGCTTGGAGCTCTTGCTCGGTCTTCACCACCTCGGTTCTCTGGTTGGACACCTGGAGAAGCTTCTGGAGAATCTCCTCTAGCTTCCCAGTCCAGTTCTCATAGAACTGAGAGAATATTTCAACCACGGTGTTGGCCATTAGAAGCAGTGAAGAGAAGTGAGTGAGGAGGTGAATAGTGAATGAGTGTATGGATGTGGAGAGGGTGTGTACTTTTAAGGTGGGGATGTGGGGTGAGGTGACCAGATGGAGAACAGAGAGGAAGACACGAAAGGAAACAGTGTGGAGGGGTAATTGGGTGCATGGCTTACGCGCAGCAATTGCCTACTAGTGCGTTTCAAGGAGAGTTTGACGCTTTGCGAAGAGGGAGAGGGAAGGGAGGGTTGTGGCGCAGCTTTCTGAGCTTTCGACCTTTGACTGTGCTGGAGGGGTGCGGTTAAAGTTTAGCCACACCTGAACGGTAGTAGACGTGTCCTCTTGGGAGGGACTTCAGATTCAACGTGGAGGCCGAAGCCTGATTCGGATGCCCCTCTCTCTTCAAATCGATTCAGGGATCCTGTTGTATACGCTGGCTTCATCCTTCACTCCCCTAGCTAGCTACCTCCTTGCTGCTCTCTCTCTCTCTCTGTAAATTTTTTTTTTTTTTTTAATGCTAGACCATATCACTAAACTTTTTAATATAACCGTAATTTTTATACTAAAATTTATATTCAAATATAATGATTTATGATTTTATATGATGAAAGTTTGATAGTTAAAAGTTAGACTTACAAAATATTTTTTAAAATATGAATTATCATTTTAAATCATTATATTAATAAATAAATAATTAAAATAAAAAATTAATCTTTCATTTTTATTTCGAGTGAATGACTTATATATATATATATATATATATATATATATATATATATATATATATATATTTAAGTTAATTAAATTAAAAATAAACATGTTTGTTGAAGAATATAACCTATTGTTATTTTAATACCATTAGTTAATGTCATTCAAATGAAAAATTAACATCTCAAAAGTTATTTTAATTAAATATCAGTCAGAGATGGGTTGAAAATAATTGTGTAGAGTGGATGAATGGATTACTTCTTTATGACAAGAAATTTATTTTTTATTTTTTAGTCTGTCTATTTCTTACTTTGTCATTAAAGATAATATCATTCCTTAACAAATTATTCAAAATATTTTAAATAAATATTTGAGTTTGTATTATTTTTTAATGATAAATTTATGTATTTCAAATAAATATGATTTGCGGCTATTAAAAAAATAACTGCAGCCAATTCTTGGTAGTTTCCGAGGGGTCCAGACTCAGACTGCGTTAAATTGTCTTATTTTTGTTTTCTTTTCCTACAATTTTGTTGCACTAGATATCTCCTGCTTTAATATTTTTTAGTTCGAACAACTTCACTAAGTGGTGATTAGGTTACATGAGGAGGGAGAGAAACTAAAAAAAGACAATTCAAGATTTAAATTTAATATGTATATATATATTTTTATTATAATGATAATAATCAATAATTAATATAATAATATCAAAATTAATAAATAAAATTATTAACAACAATTATTTATTTTTCAACTAAACAACTATTTATTTATTTATTTATTTATTTTCTGTTTCTTTCCTATTTATCAAAATGATTATATATAAAAGAAAAATATTTATTACAATATTGATAATAAGAAATCATATTAACACTTTTAGAAAAAAGAAAATGTGGAGAGGGATTAACAAAATTCTAGGTATTTTTTATAATATTCATCTTTTAAAAAATATTATATACTAATTATGTGGGTCACTGATTTTTTTTTTTAATCTGCATCCATATACATGCATATAAATAAAATTCCTGATAAAATGTTATGGGGAAATAATTATCTATTATTAGTGTCAACGTCGATAATTGTTTACTGTTCTCACCTGTATACTACCAGACTATTCAATAGAATCTCAATGTATTTATGCTAAAACTACTTCATTTGAATTGGATTTGTGTTGGTGTGAAATTGGTTTTGGTATGAAATTAGTTTGCCTAAAATCTATAAAGTAGCTAATTTATATATAAATTTTGCATGAATTTTGTTAAACTTGTGTGCTATAGAAGTAGTACAAATACACAGTAAAAAAATATAGGTTTAAATTCACTTGTGGTCTCTATAATTTTATCTCTATAAAATTTTAATTGTAAAATATTAATAACATATTTAGTCTTTAAATTATTTTTAAAAACTAACCATTTTTAATCTACCATTTATATCATTCAATGATGAATAGAGAATGTAAAAATATGTTTTTAAATCTTATTATTAATATTTTAAGTAAACAAATAATTAATATTACATATAATCTTTTTCTGTTATCAATTAAATGAAATAACAACTATAGATGAAAATTGTTTAATTATAAAAAGTTCAAAATTTAAATATACAATTAAGATTTTAAAAAGAACAAAATTGCACATTCAACACAATATTAAACACAGAAATGACACTTTGCTCTGAGACAAAAGTATCTGAGAGAGTATTCTCCGCTCTCAATCTTCAAATAACATCATACTTCTCTAATTACACATATAATTACTTATAAGATACTACTCCCTTCTGTCTCAAAGTGAAATCAAGGAAGGATATTTTCTAACCCACTTAAAACTCTTCCCATAAAAATATAATAAAATAGGTGAATTAATAATTGCAATGATGTTTTTGGTGCTTCTAGTTTTCTTTTTATGATGGAGATAGTTAATTAATGGACTGTATAAATGATTAGTTTCATTTTTTTGTTTTTATTCAGTGATTCAGTTACGTACATTAGTTATATACTATAATGCCAACTCAAATGTATAAAACTATACCTATTGCAAAATACAATTTGACATAAAGGATTCTTACAGAAAGAAAACTAACAACTAAAAGGAAATATACCCACGATAATATATATATATATATATATTTATTTGCATTTTCCAGTGTTACAAGTTTTGGCTTATAAACACAAAATGTTTAAAAAATATTAGGGCAACCATGTAAAGAAGGAACAAAAGAAAGACAAGGAAAAAATAGTTAAGATTTTAGGTTTTTATTTTTCAACTTAGATAATAATGTCTACTTTAACACATATTACAGTCTAGCAGTATAACTGTATTATCTACAAAACCAAAGTTGTATGTGAAACACATTCATAAAATTTACAAAAGAACACAGAGGTTTAAAACTTAAACATGAAGTCATATCAAGATAGATACCCCACAGAGAAAACCTACGTATGGCAAGTGCTAACTCCTCATTCGTACAGTGAAGAGGTGAGGAAACCGACATTTACACGATAAGAAGCGTAGAAATCCTACCGTTTCCCTATGCCAACTCCTCATGAACGTGTGGTGATTCCTCATTCGCACGACAGGGAGGTGAGAAAACAAACCACGGTAACGAGGTGAGGAACCCTAGTGTTATAGCATATGCCAACTCCTCATTCGCGTTGTAAGGAGGTGACCTGCCATGACTGTGAACGAGGACTACTTCAACTCCTGTATTCATATCAATTAATATTGTAAAACTGTCCGATAACCTAGTTATGCTTATAAGATGATAATAACTATACATATATAAATCATGCAATCTGATCGAGGAGCAGGACCATAGGACTGATCACATAGTGATGCATGACACCAGTAAACTCTTACTATCAGAGAAAATCAATGTATATATATAATATAATAGAAATTTTTTACAAGAGTTTTTTATTAATAAAAATATTGTTTTAATATAATTTTTTTTAAAATACTTATGATAATTTTTTAAAAATTTTAAAACTTATATTTATAATATCTGTATTAAAATAATATTCTTATATATACAAATTTCCTAAAAAAATAATAAGAAAAACTTGTCTGTGCACATAACTCTAACTCTTGCAATCTCGAGGTGACAACTATTTTTTTGATGTTTTCCAAAATTGCCGAACAAGCGAAGCTCCCAAGACAAAAAGTACGGTATTCTTCCCGCTCAATATTTCAAATCAAAATCACCACCATTTCATCTTTAACCTGCCTGGGGAAGAAAAGAAAAGAAAAATATTAACACCCATTTAGTTTGTTATTTATTAGAGCAACAGAAAACATGGAGTCATATCTATTAAATGATCCAAAAGTATTTCTAATAAAAAAATAATCATTTTAACTATAATTATCAGCATTAAAATGGTTACATAAGTTTCATATTACCATGACCTTGTTAACCACCAAATTACTTTCTAAGATTATCGTTTCAGCATGAATAAAAACAATACTAAATCATCTCATTTGAAATAAATGTTGTTCAAAAAATAATATACTTTGGACCACTTAAAGGAGAACATGTTGAGCTGTTGCATCTGATTATGATATAAGCAAGAGCCCAGTCTGGTGCAACTGATATTCATTTGGTGTTGATTTAAATTTGTAAATATATTTTGTTTTTGTCGTATTGGATAAAGTAGCATTTCTGTAATAGTTTGGAAAATCTTATCTACAACTGTAGATTTTAACTATGCACATATCCTACAGTATATCCTAGCTAGGTCTGCTGCCACAAGACAATGCAGAAATAGAAGAAAAACCTTCAACCTGTGAACCTGAAAAACACCAATACATAAATATGAAATCATACATAATTACATCTTCAAATCTTTCAGTAACTAGTGAATTCACGTTAAGACATTCATTGTTTCAGCCTTTCTTTAAAAAAAAAAAAAAAAAAAAGAATTTCAGCCCAACTTACTTAAATAAAGGTCTAGTTTTTTATACCTCCTTTGCTTGACATAGAGATATACGAGAATGTATAGGAAAATTAGATGAAAAATTAATTATTTCTAACATACAAATGAAGAAGGAAGGAAGGAAGACTATGACAGTTTGTTGAGTTGAGATACTGAAGTGGGATGAGGTATGTGTTTTGTGAAAAAAAGTCCACACAAACTTACTAGTTTGAATTAGATTTATAAAAACTGTTTTGGGCCTTTCATGCTCCTTGTATGTAAAATGGCTTACTACAACTTGATCTTCTTTCAAGGACCTTGCCAACGTTGTCTAATTATGAACTACTACGGGTATGAGTTTTTATAGTTACAAACATCTAATTCTGTGTTAGTGTTTCATATCAAAACCACTAGGATATATTTTAGCAGTATATCAAAATAAACTACCTAATTTCATTTCAAATCATTCTCTATTCTCTTCATTTTTATTTCAATTATCTTTTATTTATTGTCTTAATTATCTTTTCAATCTTCTTCATATCTAATGTCATTCTGTTTTGGGCAAACATTGTCTCATTATCTTATGTTTGTTCTTATTTTGGACTGAAATTTTAGCAATATTTATTTTTAACAACAAATGTTCACATCTACAAAACCAAAATTATATGCTATGAGAAGCTGCATTTAGCATATTCTAGTTCCTCATAAAGGAGTGGAACTCTTCATTCATATCAAATAATGTTGTAAAAAATATATAAAAGATATTGAAAACTTTTTAAACGTGTTTAATTATTACTATATATGTATCACACTTTTTTCATGAAAAATAAAATTAATTTTAAGCCACAACAAAAATTAAAATTATATGTAAGAAATTGAACTAAAGTTATTACAGATAAAAAATTATACAATATGAACGAATACCATGTAATTAACTAATCCGTAATAGACAAGATCAAAGAAAAGAAGCCCACTCTAGCGTAAAGCTCTATGAAGATGAACATCGAGCGAGATGTCTTCCAGAACTGTCATGTATTACTGTACAAGCTAAATTCCTATGCAAAATAATCAGGTTCTCCACTGATAACATCTAGAATCAGAATCACCTCCAAACCGGTCACTTCTTCCTTTAGAGTTGTGAGAAAGCTCCAGCCGTTCATAAAAGTGGCATTTTGTATGACTTCTGGCTAGGAAAAAGGAAATTAAGAGGAAGGGTAGAAAAGTAAAAACCTGAATGAGAAGTTGAAGAAGTGTTTTAGTGGTCTTTTTCACTGCTTGTTGCAGAAACCTAACTTCATTAAACTAAGGTCCGGTTTCTAATACCTCCTTTCTTTGAGAAATTGAGATGTAAAAAGAATGTATAACAAAATTAGATCAAAGATAAACTATTTTTAATGTTCAAATTAGACGAAGAATTTCTTGGACACTTAAGGATGGCGATGTATGTTGTTAAAAAACCCATATCGAAAAACTTGAAAAGCGAAGTAGTTTATATGATATAAAATAGGAGAGTTAAAATTAATTAAAATTGTGGGGCCGCGTAATAAGTGCATTGCGAGTTATTCTTTCGCCTTTTACTAAAGAACACTATGCACTTATTACATGTTGCGGCATACGCCAATTTTTTTATATTGGGCCTTTTTTTTCAAAGGCCTTTCAAAATTCAGTTCAAAGCCTTTATAGGTACAAATAATAATATAAGAAAGAGCTTTCAGTTTTAGAGAGAGAAAGTTAGAGAGAGAAAGTTAGAGAGAGAAGCTCTCAAGGCTGTCTCTCGTAGTTTCTTTTTCCTTTTTTTGCGTTAACTGATCTCTTGATTGTCTCTCGTAGTCTCTTTTTCCTTCTTTTGCATTAACTGATATCTGGATTTCTTTCTTATTTTGCTATGTTTCTAAACTTGTTTACCCCTACGATTTAGGTTTGTCTATATTCCTCTTCTCTTGTTCCATCATGGGGAAGAAATCTAAGAAGGTCATAGAAGCCTCAGTTGCGGCAGCTGAACTCATGAAGAAAGACAAGCCCATTGAAGAATCAACCTTAGCTCAGGCCAGGGAAGATCTGGCTAGCGTGGTTGCTACTTCGAAGAAGAAGGCTTTGAAGGTAACTGCAAAGCCCCCCGCAATTTCTGAACTTCAAGGGGCTTTAGAAACCCTAAATCACGAAGCTACAGTACCTGTTACAGGAAAACCATTTTTTCTGGGTTCTTCAGTTGCGATTCCTACTGCATATTCTGCTACAGATTTGGAGCAATCTTCTGGGAGCTCTACTTCTGCGTCTTCCTACAATATTGTTCCACATACAGAAACACAAAGAGTCCTATTTGCAGAGGTTGATGTTGTTGGTCCTCAGGCAAACTCCGTATATACTACAGTGTCTGACGCAAAATCTGCAGAACTTGCAGAGTTTCATGCTGTTGCAGAAATTGAATCTAAATAGAAGTATGTTTCTGAATTTTCCAATGAAAGCAAAGTTGCAAAGAGGATTGTTTCTAATGTCGCAGAAGTTGAGGGCAACCGTGTAGATCTACAAACTAATATGTCTGCTCTGGGCTTTGCTGCTGCAGATTTTCCTCCTCTGAAATCTCCAAGTATTTCCTGCACTCTAGAAGATGAGGACACAGTTAACTCCCAAGGAGATTCTGCCCAAAACACCTCAGTTCCGAAAAAGGAAGAAAGGAAAGCAAACAAAACTCCTTGGTCAGATATATTTTCCAACAACATGAAGCATGCAAATGGAATGAAGCTTCAAGCCAATTTGTCATCTGGAAAAGGAAGAGCCATCATAGAAGAGGAGAACATTATAACCCAAAGTAAGTTCAAGTTCTCTATGGTGGGTGGGCTATTTTGCAGGGAGATTCCCAGGTATGAAAGCTTTCTTGGGACTTTGTAAGACCTGGGGAGTGTCATATAGATGCTCTTTTCATAAGAGTGGTTGGATCATATTTTCTTTTGATAGTGAAGGTGATATGATTAATGTTCTTCAAACTAGCACTTACATGGTGTATGGGAAGCCTTTACTGCTAAAGAAAATGCCAGAATTTTTTGGTTTTGATGATAAAGAACTCATTGTTTTTCCAGTATGGATGCAATTGGAGGGTCTTCCTCTCAATCTATAGTCAGCAAAATCCCTTGGCAAGATATGCTCAGAGTTTGGAAGACCCACCTACACGGATAAGCTAACAGCAAATGCTGACCGTGTCAGCTTTGCTAGAGTGTTGGTGGATGTTGATATAGCAAAGCCAATCAAATATGAAGTCGCAATTTTCCTCCCAAATGGAAATACGCACATACAGAAGATTGCTTATGAAAAACTGCCAAGATTTTGCAAAACCTGTAGCATAATTGGGCATAGCATGGAAACTTGTCAATCCAATCAACTGCATACAGGGAAGAAGATTGAACAAAGCAAAACAAATCAGACTTATATAGAGAAGAAACTGGTTGGTTCTAGGGCATTTGCTACTGGCATTCCATCTGCTGCCATTCGAGCTGCTATAGTACCTGATACAGATACTGTCATCCATGCTGCTGTAACACCCGCCCAACTGCCACAACACTCGTTACAACTTCTACCATCCCAGTTGCTACAGCACCCGTTACAGCTTCTGCCATCCCAGCTGCTACAGCACCCGTTACAACTGCTGCCACCCACATTGTCAATCCTATCACACCAGTAGTTGGGAACTCAACAAGTCCTTCCGCTCATACTAAAGGCTCCCAAGCAACTACCATAGAGTCCAGGTCTCCACATGTCCAAGAAGGTAATGCAGGGAATGTTAGGTAAGGACAGGTGCAAGTTTCAAAAGAGGCAGCTACTGATTCAGGAGCTTATGATTTAAGCTTTGATGAGGGTTTCAAACTTGTTCACAAGAAGAAGAAGAACAATATGAAGAGGGGCTCTCCCCCTCCTCACCCCAAATGATAATTGCTGCATGGAACATCAGGGACTTCCACAAGTCCCTGAAGCAAAATGGGGTGAGAACCCTTATTAGAAACCACTGTATTGACATTTGTGGGCTGTTTGAAACCAAGATGAAGGTCCCCCTCTATTAGCATCTTGAACTCCAAGTTTAAGCACTAGAGTTTTGTCACCAACCTTGACATGCATCCTTTTGGACGAATTTTGATTCTTTAGAACCTTGCAACTGTGAGCTTAACTATTCTCAGCCAAACTGCACAGGCAATTCACTGTGAGGTAACCTGCCTAGTCTCTCACATTCAGTTTAGACTCTCTTTTTTTTATGGTATGAACATTATTCTGGCTAGAAGAGCTCTCTGGGAGGACCTTATGTTGCAAAGCCAGCAAGGACCATGGCTGATAACTGGGGATTTCAACGCTATGCTTTCCCCCAATGAGAGGTTCAAAGGCTCAAACGTCACAGATTATGAATTGAAGGACCAACTGAACTGTTGCACACAAATGGGGCTCTTTGACTTGAATTCTGTTGGCTCTTTTTATACTTGGACAAATAATCTCACATGGTCAAGGATTGACAGATCCTTGATCAACCGAGACTGGGGCTTGTTGAATCAGAACACTTATGCGGAATACTTGCCCATTGGCCGCTTGTCTGATCATACCCCTTGCATCATAAAAATTAATGGTTTGGCTCCCATAGTCAAAAGTCCCATGAAATTTCAGAATATGTGGACTACTCATGATGCTTTTGATAGTATTGTCAGCAACTCTTAACAAGAGCAAGTTCCTGCAGGCGTCAAAATGTTCCAACTTTGCACTAAGTGGAAGAGGCTAAAGCTTAAGCTATGAGAGTTAAATGCTCATCATTTTTCTCACATCACTAGAAGGGCTGAAGAAGCAAATACAACTCTCATCTCCTTGAAGAATCATCTACTGTGGAACCCAGATGATCAATCCCTTCATAATGCAGTTTGTGCTCAGCAAAGAAAAGCCATGTATCTTCTTGAAGATGAAAGACACTATCTTGCTCAGAGGGAAAAGAGTGATTTTGTTAATCTCAGTGATAGGGCCAACTCCTTCTTCCATGTAATTATTAAAAGGAATCAAGCAAGAAGTCGCATTAATGCAGTGAAAATGCCTGATGGCAACATGACTAGCTCTCCTGATCAAGTTGTTGTTGAGTTTCTCTCCTTTTATATGAATCTGCTAGGGTTTGAGTATCAAGTGCATGATATCTCCCTCGCCACTCTGCAAGAAGGTCATCTATTAAGTCAGTAGCAAGGAGACTCTCTCTTGGCTGTTGTCACAGCAGATGAAATTAAGAATGCAATGCTTAGCATCCCTGATCACAAGGAACCTGGGCCTGATGGCTACTCGTCCAAGTTCTACAAGTCCTCCTAGGATAGTGTTGGGACAGAAGTTACTGAAGCTGTCCAAGAATTCTACAGAAGTGGCAAGCTCCTGAAGCAAGTGAATCACTCTCTTCTAGTCATGGTCCCCAAGTCAAATCATGCTTTGAATTCATGCCCATTGCTTGCTACAATGTGATCTATAAAGTTATATCTAAGATCCTAGCTAGTAGGCTCTCCAAAGTTCTTCCCAATTTGATTGATTTAGCCCAATCAGCTTTCGTCCTAGGAAGGAGCATGAATGAGAACATTTTTTTGCTGCAAGAGTTGCTCAAAGGTTATGCTAGAAAGAGAATCTCTCCAAGATGCCTGCTGAAGGTGGACCTTAGGAAGGCTTTTGATACCGTAAACTGATTTTTCCTACTCAAGCTTCTGATTGGGCTAAATTTCCCTCAGCAGTTTGTGAAGCTCATAAAGGAATGTGTCACGAATACCTCCTACTCTATCTCTTTAAATGGCATGATGCATGGTTATTTCAAAGGTAAGAGGGGGCTCAGGCAAGGAGATCCCCTCTCCCCTCTGCTATTTGTTATTTCCATGGAGTATCTGTCAAGACTAATGAAGACTTTATAGAGGGATAAGGATTATCACCCACATCCTAAGTGTATTGTTGTCAAGTTAAATAATCTCATTTTTGCAGATGATCTTATCTTATGCTCAAAAGTGGATTTATTATCTGTTAAGAAGATTCTTAAGTGTTTTCATAACTTCAGTAGATGTTCTGGGTTGTATACAAATAATGAGAAATCACAACTCTACTTGGCAAGTGTGACAACAGCTATGTCTCATGAAATCAGGGACATAACTCAGTTTGATGATGGTTTATTTCCTTTCAGGTATCTTGGGATCCCTTTAG